AATATAATAAATAAAAAATAAATATTTGATTTGATATTTTTTTAATCAAAAATTGAAATAGTAAAATTATTTCAAAATTTTTAAATACAACGGAAAGCACTACTATTATTAATTTTTATTTAATGTTTATATAACACAATATTTATTTTATTTTTAACTACTATTAATTATTATAATAATTTATAAAAATATTATATTTCTTTACGAAATATTATATATAAATGGTAAAATAAGTTTTTGGTCCCCTTTATTTATATTTGTGTCAATTTTAGTTCTTATATTATTAAATTAATGATTTTAATCCCTTTTATTCGTATATATGGGTCAATTTTTAGTCTCTTAATTTCGAAAATTTAGTTTTGATTATTTATCCATTAATATAGTTCATATTTAATATTTAATTATCTTTTTTTTAAAAAAATAAAATAAAATATACATATATATAATAGATATCCTAATTATATACATTGTCATACAAATAGATTATCGTCAAAAGATTGTTTTACATAACTTATTATTCTTACAGTATCTATTAACAAAAGATGTATATATCCACTATATTTAATATCATGCTCTTATCCGCGAAAAGAAAAAAAAAAAAAATATTTCATTTTCTTATACCAATAATTTAAGGGTAAATTATTTTTTTAGTTCCGTAATTGGACCCCTTTATCATTTTAGTGCTGTAAGTGGAGCATGTCGCAAACTAGTCCCATAAGTAAATTTTTTTTGCTGTTTTAGTCCTCCGGCGCCGGAGACACCCGCGTGGCTCGCCGGAGGTGAAGTGTCCGTCAGGTGTCCCGCCAGGTCAACGACACATGGCGGACACGTGGATTTATTTTATTTTTTTATTATTTTTATTATTTTTTAATTGTACCAAATAAAATACAAATAAAATTTAAAATAAATTAAAAATAAGTTTTTAAAAAAATTAAAAAAATGAAAAAAAAAAAAATCCACGTGTCCGCCGGGTCAACGACACCTGGCGGACACGTCACCTCCGGTGAGCTATGCGGGCATCTCTGGCGCCGGAAGATTAAAACAACGAAAATTTTTCACTTATTGAACTAGTTTGCGACATGCTCCACTTACGAAACTAAAATGATAAGAAGGTCCAGTTACTGAACTAAAAAAACAGTTTACCCATAATTTAATTAAAACAAACAACTAGCTATCAATTATGTTGTTTTAGACAAATGCTTTTAGATTGAGAGTATTTAAATTTGTTTTTAAGTCCTTGCTTGAAATAAAATATTTGCGGTGACGATATTTGAAATATATATATATATATATATGTATATAAGTCAATGTAAATAATGAATAAGAATGATATTTTTGGATGAATTATACACTATATTTTTTATAAAAAAAATAGACTTATAACTTTTGAGAATAAATTTTAATGTTGTGTATACATTTTTAAGAAAAAATATTTTTTGTGGTTAAAAATGAAATGTTTTATATCTTTATGCGATAGAGATAATAATAATCATATTTATTAATTTCTAATGAAACGGTGATTAAAGACTAAAATTGAACTAAATTTAATAATAAGAGCCCAAAATTATTATTTTTAAAAATAAAAGAAAAATAAAATTGACATATTAGTGAATAAAAAATACTAAAAATATATTTACCTATATCTAAATTATCATTAAAAAAATAACTAAGCACACCCACACTACTAAGTGAAGGTAATTTGCATTCATTTTTTAGGTGTGTTTGTTTAATATATATATATATTAAAATAATTTGTATTATTTGGCACTATATTTTTATTTTCAATCTTATCTAGATCATTGAAAAAAATAAAAATAAAAATAAAAAACTCTAAAAAATTTGAAATAAAATAATAAAACAAAGTAATAAGAATGCATTCTTTTAAGGCTTGAGTCTGGATTTGTAGTTTGAAAATAATAAAAATTCAAACAAGTTTTAATGCAATATAAATAAATATTTGATATAATATTTTAAATAAAAAATATATTTAATTTGATTTTTTATTTTTTTTTATAACGTGAAAATTCCCTCTTCTTCGAGTGTTCTCAGAGTTAATATTAATCGATTCTTGGCCGACAAAACAAAAGTATATTACTCAAACCATATGCTATAAATAAAATCTAAAAGTGCACAAGATTTGAATCTATTATCTGACAATTACGAGTTTACCCCACACCATTAACGGTGTGTTTATTTTGTGAGATAATTTGAAGAAAAATTTTTGATGTGATGTATAAATAATTGTGTAAAAAATATAAAAATAATGAATATATATATGATATATTAATATTTAAAAAAAAAAAGTGTACACTTTTTTTTTTATTATTAAAAAAAACACACACCCTAAATCATTCATGCATAACTTTAATGTAAAATGCATGTAGAATGCAAGGTTGTGTTTTTTGTGATTTTACCGCAGATTTTTAGTATTCAAATTCTTTATTTTTTTCAAAAATATCATATCAAATAATTATTTTTTTTTCAATATTATACTATAAATTTATTTTATATTCAAAATCTTATATCACTTTTATTTATATCACATCCGATAATTATTCAAATTTAACTTTTTATTATTCAGACAAATACTCCCTAAGAAATGAGGTCCGGAACTCATAAATAATATGAGTAGGTAAGAGAAGTCAATGTTCACCTAATTTTGCTCAATTCGTTACATCTCATTTATTTATTTATTTTTATTTTATAATTATTTTATTTTATTTTTGGCTAATATTGGAAAAAGTAGGACATTAATGTTTCCCTTTTTGTGCTGTCATAAATAAGAATGGGAAATTGTTTTAACATTAAAAAATGTTAAATTCATTTAATGATTATTATTATTTTTTTTCATAATTATTTTGGTCGGCATTTTACGTGAAATATTGTAATTTTAAAGTTTGTTTATATTGAATTATTATTTTTTAATAAATAAAATATATACTATATATCATATTAATTTTTGCTTATATTATACTCCCTCCGTCCCACTACAATTGACACTATTTCCATTTTTGTCTGTCCCGTAACAATTGACATTTTTCTATTTTTGGTAAAAATTATTAAACCAAAATATATTTAACAAATATAAATCAAATTAATTAACTACATAACATACAATATCGTAAATGACGTAGGACCCACTCAAAACCCCTTTATTTCTGTCACTCTCCTAAAAAAAATAAATATTTTTATCAATATTTAAAACTACACATCTTTTATAAAATTAATTTATGTTAATTATAAATAAACAAAAATGTTTTTTTATTTACTTGTATTATAGAAGATTTTATTCTCTACAAAATGATATTCATATTGCATATATTTTTTAATTGCTATATAATTTTAAAATATTTAAACATATATTAAATTTTTTTTAATCATATATATTAAATTTATTTTAAAACTATAAATATTATTAATTATACAAAAAATAATATAATAATATCATAACTAACTGTTATTAACTAATTAAATATCCTTACCTTAAATACCGTGTCCCTAATCAAAGGGTTTAATTCCCGTTGGGACGGAGGGAGTATCTTTTAAAAATTGTCTACAATCAAATTATTGATTTCTTTTATTTAGTAATATAATCTATATATACTAATAAATTATTATTATAATTTTACTTAAAATTACAACCATATAACTATTAAGGTGTGTTTGTTTGGTGGATTGGATTTTAAATATACTATTCATTACAGTTTTTCTCCCAAAAAATTAAATCAAATACTTATTTTTTATTTTTTATATTATATTAAAAATCAATTTTACATTCAAAACATCACATCAACGCCTATTTATATCACATCATACAACTATTCGAATTCAAAATTTTTACTATTCAAATCTCAATTCAAAATCCAAACCACCAGACAAACACACCCTCAATGTATTTAAAAAAATTAATACTCCCTCCGTCCCAATACAATAGTCTTATTTATCATTTTTGTTCGTCTTATTTCCATAAATAACCATATCACTATAAAATTATCAATATATTTTCATTTTTATTGCACAATTACCACTACACACTCACAAGGGCAAAAAAATTTTTATCCATATTTTTTACCAACTATCAATATAAAATCAATATTTTTTAAATTCCGTACTCAATCAAATTAAGATTATATTTATGGGATGGATGAAGTATAATTTTATAAATAAAATACTCCATCCGTCCTATAACAAAGTATCTATTTTTCCATTTTAGTCCGTTATATAACAAAGTATTCATTTTTTTTAGTAACTGTACTATCTACTTAATATTACAAATACCCTTACAATTTACAATATATTACATAAATGCCATTACTTTTATATCACATATTCCTACTATATCTCAATATAATACTAATATTTCTAAAATGACGTGAAAAAGCAAATAAATAATTCTTTTTGAAATGAAGGGAGTAAAATTTATACCATAAAGATACCCCAAAAGATCATAAGCAAGCACATTATTATTCTTTCTGAAAATAAAAGTTATTATTATTTTTTTAATAAATAGATATTTATATATACGAAATTTGATCCTCATTTTTTTGAAAGTTTTCCTTCACTTTTCCAATAATAATAATAATAATATTATTATTATTATATTGAACATATAAGTAATTCATTAATATATTTCTTAATACTAACGTAATTTGAAATATAAATGCTATTATTCATATATATTAAATAAAATCTATCATTTTATATTATGAAAATTTAATTAGAGATAAATGTAGTATAAGACTTTAAGGTGTATTTATTTTTTATTTTAAATAAAAATTTCTATTTTTCATTTAATAGCATTTTAAATTAAAACTAAAAAAATAAAAGGTAATAATTTTTCAGATTCATTTACACCATACGGATACGGACCGGTGACTGTATTCTCTCTCGTATGTGTATAATTCTATAGATACAGAAATATGTATGTATATATGTATACGTATAGTGAGAGAGACTGACTGACAGGTCTGAGGAGAGAGAGAGAGGTCAAATAGTGAACTTTCGACAGGTTTGCCATTCATTGTGAGACAGTGCTCTGTGCCAACACGATTGCAGCACCCGAGGAGAAAACACGGAAAAGATCCATTCCGGAGAGCGTTGGAGAGAGAACAATGGGGTGAATGGAACGTGAGGATTTAGCAGCTGCAGTGGTGTTTCAAGAAATGGTTGCTGCTGATTATTACTATGCCTTTTCAACCGGTAAGTTTTGAGAAAGAGTTTGCGTCTCAGCGTTGATTTGTCGTTTGATTTTGTGATTTTTGTTATTTTTGAGAGTTTTGTGTTGTGTTGATTTTGTGTTTTGTGTTTTTTGGGGTTTGCAGTTTTTGTTAAGTGTTTTTGTTCGTCTTCGAGGCTGTCGATCTGAATTTTTGCAGCGGATTGGTGTTGACACAGGTTCAAATGATTTTTCGTCGTTGTGTTGAGTAGAATGTTGTTGAGCTATTCGGTTCATGATCTAGTTGTTTATCTGAGAACATCTGCTTTAAAATCGTTCGTCGCGTGTTCCGATAGATGATGCATATCTTCCTCTGGGAGGCGGAAATTTGGACTACTTGATTTCTTTTTGATGTTTTATGGTTTTGTCGAATTTCGCAACGAGATTTTTTTTTTTTTTTTTTTTTTTTGTCTTCAAATTTCTATCCGCTTTCCTTTTTGGTTACCGTTTGAACGGATCTTATGGCTGGAAAATTTTATAAGATGTGCATCATGAACCGATGAACATTCCCCCTTGATGTATGATGTTTTCTTCTGATTTTCTGAAACAAGAAATGGTGTTTTTTTTTTTCACTGAATTCAAATTTAGGCCTTGAATGACTGAAGCACTTTTGGTTGAGTTTTTGTTGTGTTTTTCTGTGAAATTGAAGAAATATGTGTTCACAACAATGTATTCGGATCAAGATTGAGAGATTGAATAGCAAATAAACAAGCAAATGATAATTTTGAATTGTGAAGGCTGAATAGATTCATAAATTCATATATATTTCTTACCACCATTAAGTTTAATTTGATTATACGTTAGCTTGGTTCATGGATCATGCAAAAATTCGTTTCGTGTAGATCTTGGTATGATTCTGAACCTGGTAAAGGATGATTCATATTTGATTCACTTTGTTTGTATTTTCCAGGAAGTTCTTAGCATCATTCTGGTGTTTGAAGACTGGATTGGGTCCGCAACCTTCTGTACCACGGGTCGCAGCACCGTAGAAGCTTTTTTAAAGAGCTAGTTTATAGAAAACCAAAGGGACGTTTGTTTCTTGTTCTTACAGGAGTTATGGCGGGCTTACTAAGTTCTGAATCGAGACGTATGTATTCCTGGTGGTGGGATAGCCACAATACCCCAAAGAACTCGAAATGGCTTTACGAAAACCTTACAGGTGGATACATATTTCCTGTTCTTTTATCTTTTGATATAATACTATTTTGCGATTGTGATTGTGATTGTGATTGTGATTGTGATTGTGATTGTGATTGTGATTTTTTTGTTTTACAAGATATGGATGGCAAGGTTAAAACAATGATTAAGCTCATTGAAGAAGATGCCGATTCATTTAGAAGGAAAGCTGAAATGTACTATGAGAAACGGCCGGAGTTAATGAGATTTGTGGAGGAGTTCTACCGGGCGTACCGTGCATTGGCAGAAAGGTATGATCATGCAACAGGGGAGCTTCGCCACGCGCATCGCACCTTAGCAAAGGCATTTCCCGATCAAGTACATTGTGATTCTGAACTTATCGAGGATTCTCCATCAGAATCTTCAGCACAAGAAAGGGAGCGGTCGATGCAATATGTGGATGAGTTATTTCAGAATTTTCAGGGCCTTTCTGGATTGGATGTACACGATGAAAAAGGAATTGACCTCGATCGTGAAGATTCCGAATCAGGCTTGAAACTAAGGAGTTTGAATGAGGTGCATTGCTTAAAGAAAGCTCTCGCCGATGTGCAAGCAGAAAAGGAAGATGTTCTCCTACAATATCAAAAATGTCTTCAAAAGCTTTCTGAGATGGAGGAATCGCTGAAGAAAGCACAGGTCGATTCCGAAAGTTTTAATGAAAAAGTCAGTGTGGCTGATATCGAAATCCAGAGTTTAAAGGAAGCCCTTATTCAGTTAGAGACAGAGAAGAGTGCTAGATCATTAGAAAGCAAATGCTATTTGGATAAAATATCCGATCTGGAGGCCATGGCTTCCCGCCTTCAGGAAGATATGAAGGGGCTTGACAATAGAGCAGCTGAAGCAGAAGGTCAATCTCGAAATTTGAAAGATGAAATGTCGAGGTTGGAGCTTGAGAAGGAAGAGGTGTTTTATCAGTACAATCAATGTCTTTCTAAACTATCGAACTTAGAAAACATCGTCTCTGTTATGGAAGATGAGGCCAGACTGCTCAAGAAGCAAGCAGAGATTGCAGAAGCTGAAGTCGTTGATCTAAGAAAAGCTTTAGCTGATCTTAACGAAGAAAAAGAAGCTTCGGCCAAACAGTACAATTGCTGCTTGGAAACCATTTCGAAGCTCGAGAAAGATCTAGCTGGTGCCCAAGAAGAAGTCAAACGCCTTAACAATGAGGTCTTGGTTGGAAATGCTAAACTCGTGACGGTTGAAGGGAAGTGTGCTCGGTTGGATTTGTCTAACCAAACTTTGCGCGTTGAGGCAGAGAATTTGGCAAAGAAGATTGCGATTAAAGATCAAGAGCTTACGAAGAAGCAAGAGGATCTGGAGAAACTTCAGAATTGTCTGCAAGACGAGCAAATGCATCATGCGCAAGTCGAAGCCACTCTCCAGACACTGCAAGATTTGCATTCTCAATCTCAGAATGACCAGAAGGGTCTGGCGTCGGAACTTGAAAGTATTCTTCAAATGCTTAAAGACATAGAATCGAGTAAAACTATTCTGGAGAAAGATCTTCAACAGGTCAGGAATGAAAATGAAAGTCTGGGCCAAATGAACTCATTATCAGCTGCTTCTATGGAGATTATGCAAACTGAAATCGTAGGTCTGAAGGAGATTAAAGAGAAACTTGAAAAAGAAGTTTCACGTCACATAGGCGTAAGCATGTCTCTTCAGCAGGACATTTTACATTTGAAAGAGGAAATCACCATCTTGAATAGGAGCTACCAGACATTACTCGAGCAAGTGGAAGCAGCAGGTCTGAATGCCGAATGCATTACAACTTCTGTGAAGAGCTTGCACGATGAAAACACGAGGCTGAGGGAAAAATGCGAGCATGGCAGCAACGAGAAAGAAGTTCTGATGAAGAAGCTAGAAGAAATGGGGGAAGTTTTGACCAAAACAATGGTTGTAGAAAGCTCTCTGTCGGAGCTGAATGCCGAGTTAGAAACCTCACATCAAAAGTCGAAGGCATTGCAAGAATCTTGCCGGATTCTTCAGGGGGAGAAGGCTGTGCTCGTTGGGGAAAAGACGTCTCTTTTATTTCAGTTACAATCCGTAACCGAGAATATGCACAGTTTGATAGAAAAGAATGCTGTTCTGGAGAGTTCTCTTTTGAGTGCTAAAGTTGAGCTCGAAGGTCTGAGGGAAAAAGCAAAGGGATTGGAAGAAATCTGTGAATTTCTCAAGAATGAAAGATCGTATCTTTTGTCCGAACGCGACTCCTTGGTTTCTAAACTCCGACATGTTGAACAAAAGCTCGAAAACATGGAGAAAAGATACATGGGATTGGAAGAAAAATACGCAAGCCTACAGAAGGAGAAGGAAGCGATGCATTGTCAAGTCGATAAGCTCGAGATGGCGTTGGGCATCGAGAAGCAAGAACGAACGAGTTCTCAGGACAGAAGCGAGACGAGGTTGGCGGGGCTCGAAAGCCAGATTCATCTTCTGCAAGAAGAGAATAAATGGAAGAAGAAAGAATCCGAAGAGGAGCTCGAGAAATCTCTAAAAGCTCAGTTCGAGCTCTCCGTCTTGCAGAAATTCATTAAAGACATGGAAGAAAAGAACTATTCTCTTATCATCGAGTGCCAGAAACACGTCGAGGCTTCGAGATTGGCGGAGAAAGTGATTTCAGAGCTGGAGAGTGAAAGCCTTGAACAGCAGGTCGAGGCTGAACTTCTGTTGGATGAAATCGAACGACTAAGGTTGGGAATCTACGATATATTCCGGAGCCTGGAAACTGAGTATGCTTCTACGGGGAAGGTCGAAAACGAGCGAGCTTTTGTGCATCATATTCTTGAAAGTATCGAAGATATGAAAAACTCCATTTCCGAACAGGAGGATGAGAAGCAGCAGCTCGTAGTTGAGAACTCGGTACTTCTAGCTCTACTTAAACAATTGGAATCAAAGGGCACCGATATTGTGAAGCAGAAACTACATTTGGAGCAGGAGTTCGAAGTTATGGCGGAAAAGTTTGCTGCTAAGAACACTGATTTGCAAAGAGATTACGACGAACTGCGGGAAGTATACTTTCAGGTGAATCGGGAAAACGATTCTTTACTGAATAAGTGTTCTAAATTCGAGGAACAGAAGATTACTGATGCTGTGATGGCGGAAGTTCTAAAGAATTTCGGGGAAGAGAAAATAGCAGAACTGAAGTTACTCGTCGAGGATTTGAACCGGCAACGAGAGATCAATCGCGGCCTCGAAAAGGAAGTGACGGTATTGAGAAAAAAGCTCGATTTGCAAAATGCCGAGAGTCTACTCTTTAGAGACACCGTTCGAAGCCTTGAAAATGAGTTAGAAGAGATGAGAGAATGCGAAGTTCAGATGAACGCCGACTTGGAAAATCGAGAGGCGAAGCTTTTGGATACGGAAATGAAGCTTGAAGCTGCCGAAGAGCTGAACTCGACATTATGCAAACTTGTGGCTGATCTGAAAAACGACATCCTCCATTCGCGGGAGATAAGAGAAGCTCTGGAAACCGATTTACTCGTTTTTTCGGAAGAAAACGCGACGCAGAAGGATGAAATCGAGGGCCTTGAAATGGCGAACAAGAACTTGGAGTCGGAACTCAGGAAGCTTCGTCAAGAGATAGAAGAGAATACGATGAGGGAGCTGACTCTAAATACTGAGCTTCAGGAAATGAACAACGAATTCGAAGTCTACGAAGCCGAAGCGTCGACATTTTGCTTCGATCTCCAAGTCTCTTCGATTCAGGAAGTTTTGTTAAAGAATAAAGTGAAAGAACTTACCGCAGCCTGCCAGATTCTCGAGAATGATCGGGATTCGAAATCGTCGGAGCTTGAAGAAATGAAAGGCGAGCTAAAGTCAAAGGACGATGTAATTATTAGCTTGAAATCGCAGCTCTCCGAGTACGCTCCGATCATCGCTTCACTTCGAGACGATATTACCGTTCTCGAGAGTAGTGTTACGGCACAAGCTAAGCTTAAAGGATTCGACACTCCCGAGTCGAAGGTAAAGACTTTTTTTAAGTAATTTGCTCGAAATTTACGTAATGATTATATTTACTTGTCTACGCAGTTTTCAGATGCTGAACTTTCTGATGATCCGTACCTTATCTGCTTGAAGGAATCGAAAACGCTTGTTAATTCCGTTCCAAAGATGCTGGAAGATCCTGCGATGACGCCACCCCACCAGAGCTTCGGTGGAGATAATAACGAGCGGAGCAATCGGAGGAAAGGCGTCTACGATTCACCGAGGTTAATGAAAAGCAAAAGCAAAATCTCCGAGCTACGGATGAAAGACATCCCGCTCGACCACGTCTCGGAGCACGGAATCCGCAAGCGAGGCGGCATGGCGGGATCCGACGATCTGATGCTCGAGCTGTGGGAAGCTGCCGGCGACGTCAAATCAGTCGATCTCTCCGTCGACCGCATGCTCGACTTCCCCACAATAAAACCCGAACCCGTTCAAGAGCAGTCTGACCGGAAGATCCTCGAGCGGCTAGCCTCCGACGCGAAGCGTCTCGAGATCCTTCAATCGACGTTGGACAACCTACGCGAGAAGTGGGACAGCAGCAAGAGCAAGAAGGGTAGGAAGAAAATCGATGAATCGGAAGCGGTCGACGAGCAATTATCGGAGGCGGAGGACACGCTGATACAGCTCGTCGATTTGAACACCCAGCTGGTGACCCACATCGAGCTGTGCCCGCGCGACGAGACGGCGTCGCCGCGCATGAAGGAGACGGTGAACACGTGGATGATGAAGGTGATGGAGCAGGCGGACAAGGGCGCTGAGAGGATCGGGCGATTACAGATGGAGCTGCAGAGGATTCAGTTCGGGTTGTCGAAGCTCGTCGGCGACGGGAACGGGAAGTCGAAGGGGGGCCGGGGGAGGTTTTTCCGGAGCCGGAGCATTGTTCTGAGGGACTTTGTGAGCGGCGGGAGGAGGAGCAGCCGGCGGCGGAAGAAGAGCGCGAACTGCGCGTGCTTCAGACAGTCGACTAGCGGCAAAGTTAACAGCGTGTAAGTTGTTTGTTTTTTTTTTTTTATTGCCGTAGCCGTAATGAAAGATTATGTTGGGATGGTACAACTCTTCGAAAGACTGATATATATATTTATGTAGCTCATCTTTATGTATGATTAATTCGGACAAGGACTATCTAATGTTATCTATCTTTTATGTCTGTATATGGCTTTGTTACTATTGTCACGGACCGCCTAGTTGTTCCTCGAACACTTTCCGTGTGGCCTAGCCACTTCCCGGGTCCGTGACACTATGCATGTTTCTTAAATATTTTATAGTTCCTCAAACCCTTGATAATTTATGCATTTTTGGATAATTGTATTTAATACTCCTTCCATCCTTCTTACAAACATTGTGAAAATTTGTGTTTGACACAAAAATTTAGGTAGAGAGTATTAAATATAGTAATTTGAGATAATTTCGATATTAAGTGATGTGATTGGAGAGAAAAATAATTATTTATTTATTTTTTTTATTTGAGTGATCTGATGAAACAAAGTGAAATGTATGTTAATATATATATATAAATATTACTCTCTCCGTCCGCTTACAATGTTGACGTTTGCTTTTGGAGCTGTGCTTAAGAAATAATAGTATTTTAATTAGAGTGAGTAGTTAAAAGTAGTGTAATGACATTTTTACTTTTACTTTTGTGTAAAAGTAACGATGTGATGTAAAGTAAGGGTATTTGTGGAAAAAAATAGGGTATTTAATGAAATATTAACTTTGTAATTGGACGTCCCAAAATAAAAATATGTAAACATTGTAAGTGGACGGAGAGAGAGTAATAATTATTTCTAAATTTAGAAATATTGCAGGAGTATTATTATATTTTTATTACTTAGAGGGTGGTTGGGAAACAACTTTTTGAAGAGCTTTTAGTTTATTGAACAGTTTAGCTAATTTAGATGTTTGACAAATTAGCTTTTTTAAAGAGCTTTTTGGACCAAAAAAGTTTATTTTTGAAAAACTTATCTATCCAATGTCTTGAAACAATTTTTTCATTTTAATTTTGATTATTCCTTATTTACTTTTAAAACTTAATTATTTATTTTATACATATAAATATATTTTTATAGCAGTATTTATTAATTATTTTTAATATATTTAATTTATTAAATTATATTTTTCTTTTTGTAAATTTAAAATAATTACTATTATTAATTATGACATATAAATTATTTTATTTGTAAAATATCATTTTTAAAACTAAATCAAATAAAAAAACAAAGGTTATTAATTTATTTATATATATTAAAATAATAATTAACATAATAAAAATATATATGAAAGATTTATTATTTTATATTTTATATAATTATAATAAAAAATTATTATTTTTTAATAAAAATAATTTTTTCACATTTAAATAATAAAAATAAAAATAAATATTTTATAATATTTTTATAATTTTTAATAATTAATAACAAAAATTCTCATAAATTTCAAACTAAAGTGAACAAAATTAAATATTTTAAAAAATAAAAATATCAATGTCCTTAATAGTCATTTTATGTATAAACAGCTAATGTCTTTAATACAAATCGCTAATTGAATCAGCTAGTGAAACCAGCTAATTGAATCAGCTAAACGCTAAAAGCTATCAACTAATTGCCAAACACACCCTTAGTATTTTTTTTTTAATTTGTACTCTGTACGTATATAATATTAATATTTAAAGTTTAATATTCAAAAATAAATAAATAATTACTTAAATCACTGTTTGATTTAATATTTTTGAAAAAAATAAAATTGGTATATAGTAATATTTTGGTGAAAGTTTACAAACAAACAGACCCTAAATTCTTATTATTTTTGAAATTATACACTGTCCTAATATTCTTGTTTACTTCTAAAATAATTGTTTTTACATTATCACACACAAAATTTAAAAAATATCTAAATATCCGTTTGTTTTCTGTATACATAATTTTAAAAATATTAGTATTATATTGGAATATAATAGAAATAAAAATGAAAATACTAAACTAACCTTATTAATATTTGTGTAATATATTGTAAATTGAAATGATATTTGTAATGTTAGGTAGATAGTACAGTTACTAAAAAAAAAATTGAATATTTTGCTATGAGACAAATCAAAATGAAAAAATAGATAAAATTATTAAGAAACATAGGGAGTATTCGGTGATCCATCTAAATTTTCTATCTATAGGGTTATGTTTTCTTATCACTTCCTCTACTCACAAATAATGTGTAAATTTAATGTGAAGATATTAATATAAATAAGGGAAAAAATCAAAATTAGTCCCATTAATAATATAATTAATCAATTTTGGTTCCATTATATATATATAAACCATCAATTTTAGTCCAATTACAAACAAATTTAATCAATTTGGGTCTCAACTTTACAAAATTAATAATAATCGCTGACGTGCACATAATAAAATATGAGGTGGAACCTGATTTATAATGAGACTAAAATTGATAATGAGACTAAAATTGATTAATTATATTCTCAACAGAACTAGTTTTGATTTTTTCCCTATAAATAAATATAAATGAAATAATTTTTATAATATGTAGTGAAATTCATACACGGTTAGAGTGCCGATTTGATCAAGTCAGTACCATACACACTAACTTAAACTATGCTACATTACATAGAATCATATAATATACTATATTATTGTAATAATAATTGTTATGTAAATTATATATTTCCTCCGTTCTAAGGTCGTATTTACCCATTATTGTACTTAAAGCCAGAGGCAGGGATGTCAAATAGGGCGGATTAGCCTCAGATCCGCCCCAGACCCGATCTTAATGAGACGGATTCGGGTCTAAAAAATTTGGTTCGGGGCGGATTACGGATTTTACTATAAACCTGCCTCACCCCGGACCCGAATATTTTAATTATTATTATAATTTATTTATATTTTTATACCATATAAATTATATTATTTATTTATTTTAAAAATTTTAAATATAAAATAGAACCTTAATTCGAAATCAAATTTATCTTTACAATTCTCATCGGGCCTAAAAAATTTTATTTTATTCTTTTTCTTTTTTAAAAAAAAGCAGATTTGCTAGATTAGCCTGATTGAAGCGAAGTAGAGCGGATCTTGAGTTTTAATATTTTATAACAGGCAGGTCCAGAGCCTGCAAAAAAAATCCCGTCCATTGACGACATCCCTAGGCGGATGGAGGTAGTATTATACTCTATAGAAGGATAATTTATAGATTGGATGACATGGTTTAATTATTGCTATTTCCAAAATACCAAAAAAACCAAGCCAACAATTTCAAGCAAATAAATAAGCTCTTACAACAACAAAGAAACCACAAAACAACCTGCAAGGGGTGGGGTGGCTAAATCAACAATGCAGTAAGGCAAAACTATGTCACACATAACCTGAACAGTTGGCTAAATTTTTATTATTTATCAAATTTCACCAAAAAAAAAAAAAAAAAAAAAAAAAAAAAAATTACATTAAGAACATCACATTACACCTATTATGTCACATTATACAACTGTTAAAATTTTAAACCCAAAATCCAATCCCCTAGACAAAATAAACATAATTTAATTCGAAACATCTCATTTTGTTGTATATATATATATATATATGACAAAAACTCAGCAATAGCTGCTGAAACATACCATAAACATTAGAAACATTTCTTTGCCTAAAGAGATCAAATATTACAACCACCAAACACAATTTTCTCATAACAAAAATAAAGTTCGACACAAGCGAAGGAGCTTTCGCTTTGCAGCTTTTCTGATACTATTGTCAATATCTTGCCTTAAGATCGATTACTCATAAGATAAAAGTAAAAACACAAAAGCTAGATAACACAACGGCAAAACTGGATAAATAGATTAGATTTACCCATATAATGCCGCGTGTTAATCTTCTCCTTCGAATCTCTTGTCATCTGTCTTCGACTTCATCTTCTTACTTCCACGCTTTTCTTTAGATCCATGTTTTCGTTTTGAAGGTATTGCTTCTACCTCAGCACTGTCAATATTCGGTTTGGGAGCAGAATCTGTAAGGAGTAAATGTCAACCAAAATTATCAGATGTTGCTGCTCTAGAAATAAAAACAATAATCATAAGTATTATTATGCTGCATCCAGCAATTCTTTTGAAATAAAGCGTAGAATAATTAATTAAGTCCAGTATGCATATATACATACATATATATATATATATGTACCTTCTGTACTGAAATGTGAATCAAAAACCACCCCAGTAAGGTGTTGTTTTAAGAAAATCTGCATGCGAAAAGGTATGGAACTGTTAGCCAATGCCAAAATCTATTGTGCGGACGTAGAGCTAATATATGTGGGCGGATTTGGATTCAAAAGAGATGCCTTTATTCAAAGGCTGGAAAAAACAGAACACTATAAAATCACATTACAGAGGATGTAGTGCCACAAAATATTGACCAAATCAGCTTCAAACTTCAAAGAAACATACCGCTGACAGAAGTTGCCGTGAATGTACATCCCAAATCCGCAAGTAACTATCAAGTCCTAATAAAAGAACCCAAAAATTCATATCAGTAGAAGCATAAGATATATAGAAAATTTGACCTAATATGTTTACGATAGAACACAACATAATATCATAATCAATAACCAACACAAATAAAGTCGGAGTATAATCCAGTGCTTATGTATTAGGCATTGTTTTCAACAAATCATAACACACAGGAGGAAAAAAAATCTTAAACGATTAAAATTTCATTCATCCATTGTGCTATATTGCTTAACTGAAACGTCATACAAATTGTGCTACGATCCTGTTGAATGAACTCACCGCATGAGGCGACTACTGGAAGTTTATGGTGTTTGACTATGGATTTTATACTTCCAGAACATTTTCCAATAAAGCATCCCAGGAGTTTACCTACGATGCACAAGCAGGGAATAGATTAAAACAAACAACTTTGACGGATTACAATCATAGCAAGTCTTTCATGCCTCTTCTTCAATGAAACATTCGCCTCTGTATAAGTGTCTCTATTAAGGAGACATATTAACCAAGGCATTGATTGAAAAAAAATAAAAATATATATATATAGCAATTACATATAAAACAGACTGGGAATGAATAATATATATATCCACTCCAACTTGAGGGAAGTGTTGCCTAGGCATTTAGAAATAGATTTTTGTAGACATAAACATAATTATAGGTTGTTACACATTTAGGATTCTAATGGCTCTCTATCTCCTTTGTATGTATATATATAATCTATTTACAGTAATCGATAAATAATTTAGATTAATTTGAAATTACAACTACAATAATAAGACCAATGCATCATAAATCACACAATTTTGTAAATCAGATACAGGAGAAGATATCATTGGATATAGTTAGTTTCTTTTGGATGTCGAATTGAGTGCACACAACGAGCTTCTAAAAAATTCGAATACATAAATTTATCAATGCAAATCTCACATCTTATTAGCAATCTACATAGGCAATAGTCATGTAAAGCCCAAGTCTAAACTACAAGAATATTCATCATCCATACCTCATGAACTGTGCTATTTCACAAAAGGTTTCATGTTGAGCATCACAACTAAATAGCATATGTAAAGTTCTAACGGAAAACAATTAATTAACCTGTAAAAGATACATTACTATAACTATACCTGTGCGGATGTCAATGGAAGCAAGGTCACCAGAGCCATTTCCTACATATATTGTATGTCCATCACCATCCTCCGAAACAGCTGTAATAGGCATTTCTCTAAAATCAATTGATATGACTGGCCTTCTCTGAGCAGAAATATCGTAGAGGCGAACCTACCAAAATAATTAGGTTTGCTCAGCTACAAATCACCATGAAAATAAATACAAATGAAAATACTAATTACAGTCACCTGTTTACCACTGAACTCAAAAGCACATTACAAAAACTAATCGAAGAAGGTTTAACCAAACTTAGCCAACACATGGATTACTTTCCAAATCATTGACTATAGACAAAGCAGGTTGTCGTCAGAAACGCACCTGATGAGAATTGGTTCCAGCAACAAGTTTACGGTGATCATCTTTATTCAAGAAGGTTGCTGATGTGAACCAAGTTGGGGTGAATATTCCAAGAGTGTTTTTCACAGGCTACACAGATAAATTCCACAAATAAAATGCTTAAACAGATAGCTAACAAACTTCTACATTGGTATGGAAAATGAATTGCTTACAGATTTTGCAGCCCAGATCTTACTGCCCTTTTGAAGATCCCAAACATTAGCTTCAACACCCTTCCTGATGGAAACAAGATGACACGATATCAACACCATAAACTACTATCAATTTTGAATCAGCAAATTTAGTGATTGCAGAAACTCACCCTCCAAACAAAGCGTAGTTCTCACTATCATCCACCTTTGAACACAAAATATTACCGGACCCACAAACCTTCCACACTGTTGGAGATGGATCGCGAACAGATTCAGCTGGAGTTTGCCCTAACTTGACAGATTCCACACTTGCACGTCCTTTATTTGTGCAGGTAAGCAATTTACATGATCTAAATTAAGAAGTTTAGAAAACTAAAACTATTACACTCGAAAATCATTACTACACTGTAATAGTGTATCATCAAGGTTAATGGTAAAGAAGTAATGAAGATGTGTAGCTAGACATGTGCAATAATGATCCAATGCCAAAAAAAGGCATATAGATAAAAAAAGGAAAACAACTACAAACATGTCAGTTGATATGGCATTGCAACTTAATGTAATATCCTTCAGGTGGCACGGCAATAATTTAACAGTTTACATAATAAACACAAAATGTCATTGAACAAATTGCATATTCTGTTTAATATTATCATTATTATTATTATTATTATTATTATTATTATTATTATTTTGACAAGAAACTAAGAGGGCAAACTAAGCCGGAAACTAAAGTGGTTATATACAAAAGTATAACATGTGCATGATAAGAAATCTATCACTTTTAAAAAGAAAAGATGCTTTAAGACTTTTTCCAATACCAAAAATGTATCTTGCCAACTCTACCTATCAAACAAAGTGTTATTTATAGTTTATACAATGTTGAATGTTCAACAAATAAACATAGTAAAATTACAATTATTATCTTCTTAAATTCTACCAACATGAGCAAGCCAACCATAAGAATGCACAGATCTAGATTAAACCGAATTCCAAAGTTTAAAACACAGATAAATTGTTTTGATACCTCGGAGATGACTCGGATAGCTTTTTTTGAAACATATGCAATCCTATCACAGCTTCGTTCTCGAGACATTCTGAAGCTTCATAAAGAGTCGGACTGTGAAAACGTAGATCCCCAGTAATAGCACTCATCACCTCAATCTGTGAAACATAGTACAATTACAAAAATGTTTGCTTAAAACAAAACGATTAATATGCACATAAAAAACCATAGGCATGCTCATTTGATGTTTACAAGCAATAGAATGACATACCGAACCACACTTCCTCGCAATGCCGATCAGCTGCAACATTCAAACATTCCATGCAACATAAATAACAAACATGTCAAAGACAACTTATGAACTAATAATTGTGCAAGAAAAAGTTTCTAAAAGATCAATCACATATCATCCAAAACAATGAACTTAAAAGGGAACTACAATTCAATCGGGCATTGCAATACTGAATCAATGATTCTTTTTATTTATTTATTTATTTTTCTATATCATATTTCTCTGAATCTATAATACATGCCGCATATATAAAAAGCCTCTCTGGCCAAAATTTTAAGCTCTTTGCAAATAGAAATAATTCCATAACAAACAGGTATAGTTAGGATCCCAGCACATACTATAAGCTTGCTAATCATCAATATTATATGTAATATTAATGTAATTTCAACATTAGAATTCACATTCGAAGTATATATTCGTGCAACACATTTTTTTGTATCACGTCATCTAAAATATGTTAAGACTGTATTACTCATCAACACAGAAATACTTACTGTTAGCTTCGATGCATCAATTTGAAAACTAAACTACCTTCATGACAAAACAAAAGAAAAATTCCAGTCCAATTATCAATTAGGTACTTTCCTTTATTTCACTAAAATTCTCCCACAAATACTTCAAGATGAACTACAGATTCTTTAACAGTAATCAGCAGAATTTCGATGCTAAATACAATTTGCACTATGCTTAATTCACCAAAATAGCTTACTAATTCTTCAGTAACTACAAATTAATTAGGCAAGGAGGCACCAGAAAGCAAGTATGCCTTATAAACCCTAACAAACAATACGATAAACAAAATTACAAATCCGACACTAAATTTTTTCTGATACAACCAAAACGAGCATAAAAGAGCTGTAGAGTTTTAAGTTTACCGGGTCGGATTCTCGATCAAAAATCGAAGCAGCGAGTACGCACTTGGACGAATCCGGTTCGCCCCACCTCTCCACCACCTTTGCAGCTCCTCCATCCTGTCCTTCTCGTGCTTCAACAACTGCCCAAAAAACAAATATGTAAGAGCACACGAATTAAAACTCTCCACATGTATCGATAAACTTTGTTTGCAAAGTAGAAACTCCATTGAAGACTTCGTTCCTACCTTTGACGAGGCCAAGAGTATCGAAGGTCACAGCGCGCAGGGTAGGGCAACCAGGGGCGGCCACCGTCGTCGTTCGTGGCATGTTGTCGGCGGCGTCGAGCTTTCCCTCTCTTTTGGCGAATATATATTCGATATATAGAGAGAGGGAGTACTTAGCCCATTGGGCTCCAAACTTATTTATATCCAGATCCAGTAAAAATTGATCCGACACAAAATAATTGGGTTTGAATAAAAAAATTTAAATCCAATTATGCAAATAAATTGACTAGAAAATCCTACTCGACTAATTATAATATATTAATGTTGATTAATATATTTATTATATATATATATAATAATTATAATTTAATAATTCTTTATAAATTAATTAAAACAAATTTCAATTTTAAATAATTCAACATAATTTACGCTCAAATCAATAAAAAATAATATAAGACGACAACACGACAACATATAATTTTATTTGAATTAAGAATTTCGACTTAATTATTTATACGGGTCAACACGAATCAACCCAAATCCGACACGATAATAAACGGGTCAACACGAATCCGGACGAATCGATCCATTGCCAGCTTACTTATTAGTTATAAGGACGATTGACAAATAATAATAATAATAATAATAATAATAATTGTTATAAAAATATATGAAATGATCTAAAAATTTTATTAACGAAATCGAGTAAAAATAAAAGTATTGAACTAGTTTTTGTTAGGCTCAGCCCTTAACCAACTCGAGCCCCTAACCAACTTGAAACAAACATCGACACTCAAAAAAACACACCTATTAGCGACTAACATAAACGGCCGGCCCAAAACTAATGAACTACAAAATAAAATAACCCCACAGACAACACATCAAAGCTTAAAGAAGCCTACACAGTTGAACAAGCCTCTTTCGGCTATGAACAACAACAAACATGGGTATTTATGTATCTAATGGCCTCCAAAAATATATAGGAGGTAAAACACCGGCGAGAACCGCCAAAAACTGCCGTAAAACGCCTTCGAATGGTGAGAAAGGAAGTGAGCCCCTCTGTCTCTATCTATATACACTCAGGGTCAAAAATGCGCCAACGATCAAGATTAAAGACCTAGATCGAATGGTCAGAGATGCGCCTCACAAAAAAACGCAGATCCAACGGTGAGTCGGGTCAAGCGACCAAGTAAATATAAGGTGTGTGAACACAGGATAAAGTAGGGACACGGGTCCCGGATCATAGTAGAGAAGAAGCGGTTCAGGCGGTACATAGCGGGTGTGGATTGCGGGTCAGGGCCAGGGTCAATTTGAGCTGCATAATTGGTGTGGGAATGTGAATCTAATTGGATCAAAAAAGTCAAAATTATAATAATAACTAAACAAATAAATAAATCATATATTAGTCTCTCCGCTCTTAAATCAAATGGTTCATTTGATGTGGGACATGTTGTTTAAGGTAAATGGTTAATAATATTAAATTATGATATTATTTTATTATATTTTTATGGAGTAATATTATTGATAGTTTGAATATATATAATTAAAATAAATTTAAAATACGTATTTAAATATTGTAAATATTATATTTTAATAAAATATATGTAATATCAATGTCATTTTGTAGAGAATAAAATTTTAAATAATACAACTAAAAAAAATACATATTTATTTATTTATAATTAAGATAAAACTTATTTTATTAAATATTTATTTGTTGAAGAAAGATAAAAATAAAATAGTTTTAATGGTCCTATGTGCCAATTGAAGTTGGACAGATAAAAAAAAAAAAAAAATGAGACAATTGAAATGGGGCAAAAGGATGGAGTATAAAAATTCTTCCATATTTTTCATTAATAAAACATAAATATGATGTTTATATATTTTTATTGGAAAAAAAAATTAAAAGAGTTTTTTTTTTTTTGTCTTTTTTTTCCTGATTTTAGGAACTGTTTGATTTAGGGGTTACGAATTTTATTTTTTTATGAAATTGAGATCTTATACGTAAGATTTATGTGATATAGAATTTATTATTATATTTAAGATTTAGAATCTTGTCGATGTATACTTGGTAAATTATTTTAAATGACATAATTGTCAATTTTATTTATTATAATAAATTAAACTCGAATATCTATTTTCTTTTTAAATTTTATTTATTTATTTTTACCAAATAGGATGTATTATAATAAAAAAGTTTTAATACAGTTTCCTAATATTAAAAAAAATATAAGATATATAAATTCATACAAAATATATAATATTTAATCTTTACACTTAAAAATACAATCATTCAATATAAAATATTACTCATCCGTTCCGGCTACAGTGTCCCTTTTACTGTAACACAGGAATTTAGGGAGGAATATAATTAGTAAATAATTAAAAATATATTAATGAAAATAATTCTTATATGATAAAAATAATTTTAACTTATAATTAAGATAATTAATTAATCTTATTAAAATTAAATAATTAAAACTTAAAAATTTTAAAATAAAATTAAAGGATATAATTCTTTTCAAAAAAAAAAAATAACGTGTGACAGGATAAGTGGACATGCGAAAATAAAAAAAATGAACATGCAAAAACGAAAAAATAGACACGATAAGTGCAATGAATGAAATATTTTTTAGATTATTTTTTAGATTTAATATAAAAAATACCTCAAACTAAAAATACAAAAACTTTGTTTACACACATTCATTTATTTTTTTTTATATTTTCCACGCAATTCTTTATACTTTACATAAAATAAATTTGTTTATCGTAATTTCACAAAACAAGCACACCAAAAACTAACATACCAATAAAACAATTTTTGAATTATTAATTTATTTAAATATCATTAGTAATATAATTAAATATAAACAAAATTAATGATTATAAATAAATATATGTATTTTGTAGTAATATTTCAAATAAAATATCATAGTTTTATAAAACCAATGAAATACTCTCTTCGCCCCAAATAATAGTCTAATTTTGCTATTTATGTTCGTTTCAAAACAATAGTCACATTTCAATTTTTAGTAACTATCTCCCAACTTTTTTACAAAATTATTCTCATTTTTTTTCACAATAATTATATAAAGTATGGACATTTTAATCTTTTAGAAATATTTTTACACACTATCAATATAATACAATTATTCTATCTCAAATGTCTCTATTATTTTGGGAAGAAAAAAAATATAATTTAAATATAAATATATATAATATGTGACTCATTCAAAATTTATTCAAAATTATTCATTTCTATTTCTTTCTTCAGTAAACAAATATATTTATATTCATTCAAAACTCTCTATTTATTTGCAAATTAATTTATATTATTCATTAATAAAAAAATTTATATTTTCTTATTTATTTGTATTATATAAAATTTTATTCTCTATAAAATAATATTTATATGATATATATTTTATTAAAATAATTAAATACATATTTTCAAACTTTTTAATCTTATATATATTATATCATAAATCAAATATTAATTAATAAATCACTTTCAATCCAACTTTTCACTTAATAATTCAACCGCTAACCAAACGGAAAATTTATTTTAGGTAAGACAGTACAAAGGTAAAAATTAAAATGCAATTAGAATGAAATTTTAAACTAATAGGTTATCTTAGTATTAAAAAAATTCATTTCATTTAATTTCAATATTATCGTTTTTTTTTTATTATTATTTTTTATTTTTTTAAGGGTGTGTTCATGTTTGTGTAAATTTCATTATATATATATATATAACTATTTATTAATACATTTATAAAATTATTTAATTTTAAACATATTTATTTAATTTCAATAAAATAAGTCAAGCCAAACACAGTCCGGCCTATTGGTCTGTCTGGCATGGTTCACCATTTGTACTACCAGGTCAAGCACAATTTTTATTTTTTTTCGTATGACAAATTAATTTATTTTAAGTAATATTTAAACTAAAATTTTGTATCATACTACAATAAATACAATATTAATTATTTTTATAAATATATAATTTATTAAAATAATACTTATTTCATTCTAAGTCAAATTATTAATTTTATCATCTTTGTATGTCTTATTTAATTTTTTTTTTATTTAAGTATTAGTAAATATATATTAATATCAAAATACCATTAATTTTTTATTATCTAAATTATAAATATATTACATATACAATTATTTTACATATAAAGTCAAAATACAAAAATGTCAAAAATTTCTTACATACTTTTATTGAGATATGTTCGAATAGTACGGACGAAGTATTAAGAACTGTAATATTATCCTACAAAGTGTGATTTTAATGTACACTATTCTTAATAAATTTCAAAAATAAAATACTTCGTCCGTCTCCAGTGGCGGGACCTATTAAGGGGCAGCCCACCCTTGTTCCACCCCAACCCTACTTTTATCATATTTTATTTATTTTTTTTAATTTTTAAAAGAATAATATATATATCATTTTTAGAAAATATTTAAAATAAATAAAAAATAATAAAAATATCAAAGTTTTAATTTTTTTTAATAAGAAAATGCATTAGCTTTTTTTTTTTCAAACTATAGTATATCAACATTTACTAATAAAAAAGATTGTTTTTTTCTTTTTAATTTGGACTATATTTGATGTAATAATTAATATTTAATATTAGTATGCAAAAAATAAATATAAAATTATTAAGTAGATAATAATAGTATTATTTTACAAATAAAAAAATTATTTTGTAAATTTAAATATTTTGCCCCTCTTCTATTAATATTCAATTCAATACAATATTTTTATTTATCATTTTTGTCCGTTCCAAAACAATAGTCTTATTTTTTATAAATAATCATATCATCGTAAAACTACTCCTACTTTTTATTTTTATTACACAATTGCCACTGCCATTTACACTAATACACTCACAAGGGCAAAAAAGTCTTTTACTCATACTTTTTACTAACTATCAATATAATATCAATATTCTTTAAATAATCCGTTCTTCGATAACAAACGGATCGCGTGTTCAACCTAATTAAAATTATATTTATGGAACGGAGAGTATATAATATACCTTTTATTTACAAAATAAAAATTAAATATAATACACACAAAGATTTGTTGATTACATACAAATTTATTCCATTTTTTGTTTGCTCTATGCTGATATGATAATGTAATTAACTCTTCTAAGTTGAAATCGTCGAATCACTAAAAGATATTCTCTTTCTTATCTGTTCCCTAAATCACTTAAAAAATTGGGATTCACGAAATAAAATAATAATAATAATAATAATAATACTCCCTCCGTCTCAGATACCGTGTCTGCTACACTGTAGACACGGTATTTTAGGAGGGGTGTAATTAGTAGATAATTAATAATGTATTAGTGAAAATAATTATCCTATAATATAAATAATTATAAATTAAAATTAAGATAACTAATTAGTTTAATTAAAATTAAAAAAATAAAATTAAAAAATTTAGAATGAAATTAAAGTGTGTAATCATTTTCCAAAAAAAGAAAAGTGACATGGTATGTGGGACGGACAGAAACGGCAACGTGGATATGGTATTTGGGACGGAGGGAGTAATAACTAAACAAGCTGTTTCAATTTACATCACAACCATGCATGATACTTAGGGTGTGTTTGTTCTGGGGTTTGGATTTTGAGTTGAGATTTGAATAATAAAATTTCTGAATTTAAATAGTTGTATGATGTGATATAAATAGAAATTAATGTGATGTTTTGAACGTAAAATTAATTTTTAGTATAATATAAAAAATAAAAAACAAGTGTTTGATTTAATATTTTTTTTTAAAAAAAATAGGATGAATAGTGTATTTGGGAGAGAATCTCCAGTAAGTGACTTTATTCATTTAAGACGTGTTCGAAATAGAAATGAATTTATTTATTTTTTTATTTATTTGTTCTTGAAAATTAAAATTAAGAAATAATTTATTATTTTATTCTTTTTCAATTCTCTCGTATACAAAGAAATAAAAGAAACTTGAATTTGTGATAGAAAAAATTATATATAATTTATATCAATTTCTTTTTTTATTTTTTTATGTAAAAAAATTGTATTTTTATTATTTTTTATTTAAATCTTCTCTCCGTCTCCATCCCCGTTACCACATCATTGGCAGGATTTGAGGGTTTACAATATAAAAAATAAAATTTTACGATAGACTTATATATTATTTAAAAAATCTAATATATATGTTAACGTAATGCATACATTTTATTCGCATATAAAAAGTCAATAATTCAATACAAAATATTATTTTCTATATTTTTAACATAATTCTCTTATGTCTGGCATAAAAAATAAAAAATAAATAAATAAATACATCCATCCAAAAATATAAAAAAAAACTAACACGTATATTTGTGTTTTAGCTTAAATAATGTGTCCTTTTTGTTTTTTTTACACATATTTTTTTAAAAAAATTAATACATTACACATATTTATTATTTTTATATTATATACACAATTTTCTATATTTCATATGAAAAAAATATTTTCATTTCAAAAAACAAATGCACATTAATAATTTTCAATTTAATCTATTTACTTTTATTTTAAAAAACACAAATTTATTATATATTTTTCATATATCAAAACTATTACTCCTTCCGTCCCATATACCATGTCCACGTTGTCGTTTCTGTCCGTCCTACATACCATGTCACTTTCCTTTTTTGGAAAATGATTATACACTTTAATCTCATTTTAAACTTTTTAATTTTATTTTTTTAAAATTTTAATTAAACTAATTAGTTATCTTAATCTTAATTTATAATTATTTATATTATAGGATAATTATTTTCACTAATACATTTTTAATTATCTACTAATTGCACCCCTCCTAAAATACCGTGTCTACGGTGTAGCAGACACAGTATGTGAGACGGAGGGAGTACTTTTTTAATATAAAAATTATTTTGCCCATGTATTTTATTTTATGTTGTGTAATAATATCGATATAAATAAATATAAACTCGATCTTAAATATATATTTTAGTTTATATTACTTAAAAGAAAAATTGATATTTAATGGTTACACAATTGAAAATCACAAAATAATTATCTAAGAGTAATACGTGTTAGTTTGTTTTGAATATTTTTTTACTATTTAGACTTCATATTCCTTAAAAAAAAAATTAGAGTGTGTTCTTTTTTTGAGAATTTTGCTCAAAATTTATTATTCCTAATTTTTCTTTTTCAAAAATATCAAATTAAATAACTATTTTTTTTTTAATTTTCTATATTATATTATAAATTAATTTTAGATTCAAAATATCACATCTATTTATATCACATCGTACAATTATTTTAATTCAAAATGTATACTATTAAATCCTAAATCCCAAATCCAAACTCCCAAACAATAACACCCTATATATTTTTCTGCACAATATAATACTTCCTCCGTCCCGCCACAGATGACCCCATTTTTTTTTTATATCTCGCAGAAGATTGCTTCTTTTTATTTTTGGTAAGTTTATCAATCTTAAACATATTTAACAAATATAAATCAATTTAATTAAACTTCTAACATCATACACTTATGACCCACACAAAACCCTTTTATTTCTATCTCTCTATTCAATTAACAAATATTTTTATCTACCTTTAAAATTCCTCATTTTTTTTATAAAACTAATTTATGGTAATGATAAATAAATAAATAAATTTCTTTATTCATTTGTATTATATAAAATTTTATTGTCTACCAAATGATATCCATCCATGTTGCATATATTTTATTGAGATATAATTCTAAAAATATTTAAAATACCAACAACGCTACACATATAAAAAAATAATAAAATACTATCATAACTTAATAACCTACACTACCTAAAATACTGTGTCCTAACAAAAGGGCTCACGGGACGGAGGGAGTATTAAATATTAATTTAATTAAAAATTTCAAATTTTCAAATTCAATCCCGAATAAAAATAAATAAATAAATCCATAGATATTTGTGTGTACCTTCCGGCTAACAAACTAGTAACAAACACACACATAAAATCAAGAAATTAAAATAGAATAAGTTGGCCGTCTTCCTTCCGCCAAAGTTTGTAATAATCTTTCCATGAACGACAATATAATTCTTCCTATAAATTGCTTCAATCCTTCTTCCTATTTACTCAAAATCGAATTCCTCTAGCCATAAAAATCTAATCTTTACTATTATCAATTATTATTCAAGAATTAATATGGGCGTAGCAATTTTCACCGACGAAAATATTTCATCCATCGCTCCGGCGAGGATCTTCAAGGCATCGATCGTCGACTCGCACAATTTGATCCCGAAGCTCATGCCCCAAGCAATTAAGAGCATAAATATTTTGGAGGGCGACGGCGGAGCTGGAACAGTTAAGGAGATCAACTTCGCTGAAGGTAAATTAATTAGTAAAAAATAGTTCGACAAATACCAAATGTGTGAATATGATCTACTTGCGTAGGTAAGTTATATGTTATTCGCCACGTAGAGCTTTGGGCATATGATTTTTAATTTTTAATTTTTTTTTTCACTAATTAGTGACGATTAAAGTTGTAAAATAGATAAGTTACTTGCAGACTCGATTTGGTTTAACTTGTTTAAACTCAGATAAAAACAAATTTGATAAACTAAATAAATGGAATATAATACAAATCCAATAATTATAATATATATTTGTTCACCCAATAATTTTTGGTGATATGGTTCTCTATGAATATTATAAAAATACAATATATTTACACGTTAACATTATACAATAAATTATTATATCCATTCATAAAAAGTCAACAATTTAATATAAAATAATGCATAACGAATTTATAAGTATTTGATTATATTTGTTGTAGTTTCTATAGCTAAATTTATATTAATCTCATGATATTAATTAGACTTGTTTTTGAATTTTAGAGAAAGTTTATAAAGGAAAAAAAATAAAAATAAAAATAGATAGTTCAAGAATTGAGTTTTAATTTGAACAAATAAATAAATTAATTAAAAAAATTACTTAACGAGCCGAGTTGAGCTCATAAAAAAAAAAAAGATTTAATAAGCAAAACTTGAACATCATTTTTAGTTTATCATCTTAATGAATTAACACAATCCTAATTCAAGCCATTAAGGAGCCAAGCTTTGCTATGAAGATTTCAGTTTAATTTGTCTCGTTAACAACTTCAGTTATAATTGAAATTTCAATACAAAAAATGATAATATGTTTGAAATATTGAATACGATTCACGAACCTTGTAGAAAGTCCTTTGAAGTCTATCAAGTACCGTATAGATGAGCTCGACGAGAAGACATTCACCTACAAGTACACATTGGTGGAAGGCGACTCGTTGGTTGACAAACTTGAGAAGATATCCTATGAAGTTAAGTTTGAGCAATCGGCTGATGGTGGATCGATTTCTAAGGTCACGAGCAAGTACCACACAAAAGGGGACTTTACTCTGAAAGAAGAGGAAGTCAAGGCGGGCAAGGAAAGGGTATTGGCGATGTACAAGGCTGTCGAAGCTTATCTCCTCAAAAATCCCGACGCCTATGTTTAACTTTGCATCGATGTCGTCGCACACACACACACACACATATATATATATATATACACACTATACTATTGTTGTCTCTTTTTTTGATGTTTTGTGTGTCTTTGCTGGTTGCTACGAACTTGCCTTCTGTGTGGTGAGATCACTAATAAACTTATTGTGTATTGAATAAAATTATCGTATGTGTTTGAAATATGTGTATTATAATCGTAATTTATCATTTCATGATTGCATTTTTTAGATATTTATTTAGTTTTATTTTAGCGTTAATTTTAAATTTTTGGTTGCTTTATTGCACGTTTGATCTAATTTTCGTAATATAGAGCCCAAAAGCTTTCTTGAGTTGCACTATTGTACATTCCAGTTAAAAATGACTTCAAAGTGTATTTAAACAGACCATCGATAACCATTTCATCTAAATAAAACAACAAAATAAAAAATACTTTAAAATACCGGAAAAGAATAATACAAGCACAAATTCGACAAATTCCAAGTATAGAACATTTGAGGACACAATCACATTTGATTGTGCATTTATTAACATTACATCCTTATTTGCTCTTCCATACATCTTCGATGTATCTACGGTTTAAACTACTTGTATCAATCATACATAAGTTTTGAGCAATCTACCCTTTAAAAGAAATTGATCTCTTTATCCTTATCTCTTTCGCAACATTTCTCCCTCGGCACATTTGCTTCTCAGATGTCTCTGGAGTTTGTAGCTTTGGGGCACTATGAGACCGGGCTTTGGCTTGTGAGGACTTCGTCTTTGCCATGTAGTTGGGACCAAAGTTGTAACCATGGTTAAGTGATTCCCCACACTCGGGCATAAATAAGGTCAATGGGAGCCTCGATTTTGAATCCGTTTTGTTTGAGGTCAACGGGCAACGCGGGCTAACTAATCTAGGGTTGGATGAATTGTCGAGTACATAATGGCCGGTTGTTTTAGGACTTTTGGGGGTCGTTTTAGGACTTTTAGGGGGTTCTGAGGACGGTGTTTGGAAAATGATGTTTTGGTTTTTCTCACTAGATGAAGTTTGGATGGCGATTATGTGTTGTGGTTTATTTATGTTTAAGTTGATAGAACGAATGTTTCGACCATTTTTTACTAACTTGTGGTTGCTTGAATTTGCCTTAACGACTTTGATTTTCTCATGGTGGCTTCCTTTGATTTGAAGTTGTTTTTGAACTCGAGCTCGAGCTTGAACTTTCACTAATGCTTGTAAACACTTAAATGCCGCACTTGTGTGTTTTCTCACCAAATGTCCTCTTACAAGCGCTTGTAATTTTACTAATCCTCGCAATGCTTTGAGCGCTTTTCTTGCCTAAAAAAAGAGAAAAAAAATAAAAATAGTTAGACTGATTATGTTTTAAAGATCCTTAATTTTAAAATAGTTAAATGCATATATGACGAATATTTCAATAAAAATACATGAAACACCATATATAAATTTTAGAAATATAATGCATTTTTGTCATCGCTTCAGTTACCGTGTTAATTCAAATTAGCATGGTGTTTGATTTAACTTAATCAACAAATTTCTATAAAGAAAATAACATATATTAATATAATATATATATAATATTTTAATAGCAAATTATATAATTATATATAACAAAATATAATTATGATTTTAGTATGATACTTATTTGACCTATTCAACAAATATTTATAAAGATAGTAGCATATATTAATATAATATATCAAATATTTTAATAGCAAATTATAATAATATATAACAAAATATAATTATGATTTTAGCACACCATATTCTTATTTTATCACAATAGTATAATAAACAGATTATACACACAACACAATATATAACCTATTAAAATATATAATATACTCCCTCCGTCCACATATAAAGTATACATTTACTTTTGACGCGGTGTTTAAGAAATAATAGTATTTTAATTATAGTGGATAGTTAAAAGTAGTGTAATGACATTTTTGCCTTTATTTTTTCGTGTAAAAGTAATGATGTGATGTAAAGAAAGAGTATTTCTAGACAAAAAAAAAGTGAGGTATTTAATAAAATGTTTACTTTGTAATTGGACGTCCCAAAATAAAAATATATATACTTTCTAGTTGAACAGATGGAGTAGTACATTATATAATTGCATGTAGCACAATATATGCTGATTTCAGCATAAAATATAACCCACGTAACACATATTTATATATAACACAACATATATTATATACTTTGGGATGATTTACTAATTGTTTGAAGTTAATGTGCTAATTTGATAATATGTTATTTGTGTGGTGATGGTTTGTTAATTACTTTAAATCAGTTTGGTAACTTAATCAAATCAGTACGATGCCACCGTTTTTTGTCACATATATTTATATAGAGTATTTCATGTATTTACATTAAAGACTATGAATCAAGTACTGAATAATTATTTTTACCACTTGCTAAATACTTGGTGTTAAGAATTGTTAATATTCCTAGCTTATATTAGTTTCATATATCCATATAAGCAGACGTGACAATATTTTTAAATACTTAGATGACCTGTTTAGCGAACATGATTAGATATAAATTATTTTTACCAAATTTTATTTACGGATCCAACATAAAGACTAAAGATATATATATATATTTAAATAAAAAATACTATTTACATAGTATTTAATTATTTTTTAAAAAATATTACATTTAACACTCATTTTTCATTAATTCAAAAACAAAAAGGATATTTTTTACAATTATTTTAACCTATAAAAATATCATAATCCAAAATATTAAACTAAAACAAAATCACAAATTTGTTCTTTTACTTATTTTGTTCCACACATTTTTCCAAAATAATTTAATTCAATACACATATTTATTATTATTATTATTATTATTATTATTATTATAATCTCTACACAATTATCTGTATTTTACATAATCATTTTCAATAATCTTACAAAACAAACGCACCTGACGATGTTAATATTATAACACTAACATACGTTCGAAAATATCGACATACCAAAAATGCCCGAAAAATCGATTGAATCTTGATCGCGGCAGATTCCTCGGCGTTCGTCCTCTCGGGAACCGAAGCTGCTGTCAGTCGAATCACCGCCCTAGCGGCAGTCACCGCAGCATCGGCGGCCGCCACGGTGGCGGCGGCAACAGCCAATGCATGTTTTTTGGAGTCACAATCACATTCATGAGTGCTACCCTCGACGGACGCCGACAGCCGCGGCGTGGCGGCGGCCGGCGACGGCTGGCCGGAGCCTCGCCGGAGCTTCTCCTTATTATTATTGTCTTTGTCTTTCTTATAATTCCCACTCAAGAAATTCTTTATCCATTTGCTACTCTTTCTCATTTTATTTTTTTCTCTTCCAAAGAACAATGGAGAATTTGATTCAACTTTTTGACACTTTTGATTTCGTGTATTTCCATTTAAAAAATCGTTGGGAAGTATTTTTACCATTGAAAGAGGAAATAATATATTGGTTTTGATGATTCAATAATTGAAACCATAATAAGAAATGATTGAATATATATATATATATATATATATATAGAATTGTTCTTAAATGAATTTTATTTGTGCAAAATTTTCTATCAATAGAGATATGGCTTTTGATGCTGTGATAGTGTATTAAAGTGTTGGAATTTATATTGCCATTTAGAATTTATATTGCCATTTACAATTTATAACAAATATTGAAAATTTTTATGTAATTAATTCTATCAATAATTATATTCAAAATTTAGATGATTGGCAAATTAATAAAATTAAGATTTGTTTGGTTGTGGTTTAAAATTGATTTGTTTAGTTGGAGTTTGAAATGGTGAGTTGATTTTTCAATTTTTATTTAAATATTTTTTAATGTGATATTTGTAATAAAAAATAATATATTTTTATCAAAAATTTTGTCTCTTGATGCCGATTTTTAACAATAAAAAGTAAAACCCGAAAATAGAAATTATATTCGAATTTTATAAAATAAATGTCTGAGATTAAAAATCCCTAAACACCGTACACATAAATAAAATAAGAAAAATAAATACTACAAACAGTAAAAGTAAAATGGTGATCCTCAAAAGAAATTTACTGAATTTGAAGTCAATTGAAGATTGAATATTCAAGATTGAAGATCCTTTTTCCAAGAGAGACCTGAATATTTAAATATTCCCTAAGGAAACGTTGCCTGGTCGGTTATAGCAACTGCCGTCAACCGCTCGCTAATTCCTCCTCAATTGACACGTGTTTTAACTGTTTTACCAACCGTTAGCACCAGTTATAGAACCCAACTGGCTCGACCGACCGCCTCCTGGCACCTTACCTCCTTAAATGGATGACTGGTCCCGAACGATCACTCAACCGCCCAGCAAACTTTAGACAGACTGCAGACCGACCGAATGCCTCGAGAAACCCCTTAGCCACCTGATGGACCCAAAGACAGGCCCACATATTTCGTACGTAACAACTTGCCCCGCCGCCATCTGACTTTGACCAATCGACCAATCCAGATACTAACTGGTCGCTAGACCAAACGACTAATCAGTTGCCCACTCAAGCAACCACCATCCAGTCCCTTCAATTGGCTAATCAACCATTCGTCCAGACGGCTCATCGATCGCTCAATCAAGTGACCAATTGACCACCCTCTCAAGCGACTGAACTACTGTTTGACCAAATGACCGGCCAACCGATCAGGCGATTAACAGGCCGCTTAATTTTAAGCGACCAATTAATAGACTTTTTTTCACCCGACTAATTAACAGACCTTTCCTCTTGTCCGACTTCCGTGTTTGTCATCTCATCTTTCTTCGCCCGACCTCCTTTTGACCGACCTTCGTATTGGCCGTCTCATCTCTCTTCGCCCGACCTTATCTTGTCCGACCTCCTTATCGACCGTCTCATCTTCCTTCGTCCGACCTCCTTTTGACCGACCTCCGTATTGGCCGTCTCATCTCTCTTCGCCTGACCTTATCTTGTCCGACCTCCTTATCGACCGTCTCACCTTCCTTCGTCCGACCTCCTTTTGACCGACCTCCGTATCAGCCGTCTCATCTTTCTTCGTCCGACCTCCTTTTGATCGACCTCCGTTAAGACCCTGCTACCATTATCAGACTAATTGGACTATATATCAATCCAATTTATAAACTTTATACATTAGTTTTTTCTTACTCAACAGTTTCAAATAGTATTATTTTGGTTTAAAATGATAAAAAAATATAGTCTAAATCTCGAAAGAAAAAGAGAGAGAGATTATTGTGTTATTTTTGCATTTTGATTTTTCTAAAATTATTTTTTAAATATTGATTGAATGTGATATTTTATAAAAATTGAATAAATATTAGGGTTTGTTCTTTTTTGAAAAACACAATTCTCAAAAAAACATATTTCTTCAAAAATAAATAATATATCATATATATATTCATTATTTTTATACTCTCTCCGTCCCACTTACCATGTCCATGTTGCCATTTCTGTCCGTCCCACGTCTCATGTCAATTTCTTTTTTTGGAAAATAATTACCCATTTTAATCTTCTTTTGAATTTTTTAATTTTAAATTTTTAAAATTTTAATTAAACTAATTAGTTATCTTAATTTTTATCTGTAATAATTTATATTATAAGTAATTGTTTTCACTAATACATTCTTAATTATCTACTAATTATACTATCCTAAATTATAGTGTCTACAGTGACCAAGACACCCATTGTGGGACAGAGATAGTATTATTTATATAATTTTTTATACTTTACATAAAAACATATATCTTCAAACAATTTCACTAAACAAACAAACCCTCAATTTAATTATTTATTTTTAAATAAAATTGCATAGTCAATGAACCATATATATAACTAAACTAAAAATTAAAGAATAAAATTAAAATTGCATAGTGAATGAACCATATATATAATTAAACTAAAAATTTAGAAAAAAAGACTGCAAAGTAAACAATAATAATCATTTTGTGTGTTTGGTTTCTATTTTAAATCAAAATCTTCACTATTTATATTGTATGATTTTCAGTAATAAAAAAAAAATTACTCCGTTCTACATACCGTGTCTGCTACACTGTAGACACGATATTTTAGAATAAATGTAATTAGTAGATAATTAAGAATGTATTAGTGAAAATAATTATCCGAAAATATAAATAATTATAAATTAAGATTAAGATAACTAATTAGTTTAATTAAAATTTTAAAAAAATAAAATTAAAAAGTTTAAAATGAGATTAAAGTGTGTAATTATTTTCCAAAAAAAGAAAGTGACATAGTATGTGAGACGTACAGAAACGGCAACGTGGACATGGTATGATATATGAGACGGAGGGAGTAATATTTTTCACAAAACACATCAAACTTGAATTAAAAATTCATACTCAAATCAAAACTAAAAAAAAAAAAAAACCCATTAATTATATGAATTAGTATTTTATAAGTTTCCCCCTTCTGCAATTTAAATTCCTTATAAATCCGACCATATATATCTTGAAAACTGCCAGAAGATTTCAAGAAGATCCTATTAAATTAAAATTATTTGGATTATATTCAGATGTATTTTGAAAGTATTTTTTTTTATTTTATAAAATATATATTTTTTTATATAATATTTTAAAGGGTAAATTATATAACATCTCTGTGTTTTAGTAAAAATGCACAAAACATCTTGTATTTTATTTATTGCGTGAAACTCCCTTGTGTTAATGTAAAGTTGGAACGAAATACCCTTTTGATCCAAAATTGATATTTAGTTCTAAATAAATACCTAAGTTACGCAAGTTCTATACAAATAAAAAACGCAAAATATTTTAAAGAATTTTTTTATATTAAATAAATAAATAAATAATTTTTTAATCATTCATTTATAGTTTTGAAGATAAATTGTTGTTTGATTTTTATAAAAATTATAAAATATAAATGATTGATCAATTATTATTTATTTATTTTATTCATAAAAAATTATTTAAGATATTTTACATATTTTATTTGTATAAAACTTACATAATTTATGTCTTTATTTCGAACCAAACATCATTTTTAGACAATGATGATGTTTCATGCAAATTTTTCATTAACACATGGGGTTTCACGCAATAAATAAAACATAGAGTATTTTGTGCATTTTTAATAAAACACAAAGATATGTTATATAATTTACCCTACTATACCATTGAAATATACCATCTTATATTAGTCAATATTTGGAATTAACTTATATAATATCTTTATATCTTTAAATCTCTCTTGAATAAATTCTACTATCTCCGTCCCATATAATATGGGTGTATTACTATAGACATAGGAATTTAGGTAAAGTATAATTAGTAAGTAATTAAAAAATATATTAGTAAAAATAATTATAGATTAAGATTAAGATAACTAAATAGTTTAATTAAAATTAAAAAAAAAATTAAATTTTAAATTTTAAAATATGATTAAAGTGTATAATTAATTTTCCAAAAAAGGAAGTGACAAATTATGTGGGACAGACGAAAATAGAAAATATGGACAAATTATGTGGGACGGAGGGAGTATTATACTATAAAAAAAATTTATTCTTATAAAATTTATATTAATCAGATGTGCATATCTATTTATATATTATATAAATATATATATTTTAGAACAATATACTTTTTATAATTTAATCTATATATATTTTTAAATAAAATACATGAGAGTGTGTTTCTTTCGGATAAATTTGAGGAAAACTGGTTCGGGTTTAGATTATATTTGAATTTTAAAAATGAGTTGTTTAAATTTGTATGTTTAAATTGGGTTTTTTAGATTTTGATTTATATTGATTTAATAGATAATAATTATGTTAATGTAAAAGTGTAATATAATAATTTAATATATTTTCTTTTACTGAAAAAAATCAAATTAGAAAACCATCTAAAAATCCATCCAATATTTGTCTGTGGGTTTGGAAATTGGGATTATAATTGAAAATATAAAAATTCAAATTGAATTAGTTATATATATAATTTATTTTTAATTTTTAATAGGATAAACTGTTTCTTTTGTTCCGTAACTGACCTCTTTATCATTTTAGTTCCGTAAGTGGAGCCTGTCGCAAACTAGTCCCATAAGTGAAAAATTTTCGCTGTTTTAGTCCTCCAGCGCCGGAGACGCCCCCGTGGCTCGCCGGAGGTGACGTGTTCGCCAGGTTAGCGGCACCTGACGGACATGTGGATTTTTTTTTTAATTTTTTTTTAAATTGGACCAAATAAAAAAAATAAAAAAATACAAATAAAATTTAAAATAAATTAAAAATAAGTTTTTAAAAAAATGAAAAAAAAATAAAAAAATCCATGTGTCCGCCAGGTCAGCGACACCCGGCGGACACGTCACCTCCGACGAGCCATGTGGGCGTCTCCGGCGCCGAAGGACTAAAACAGCAAAAAATTTTCACTTATAGGACTAGTTTGCTACAGGCTCCACTTACGGGACTAAAATGATAAGGGAGTCCAGTTACGAAACTAAAAAAACAATTTACCCTTTTTGATATAAATGATACTCATTCCTTCTGGCTCTAAGAGTCTCATTTACCTTTTGTGTCATTTTACTTAACACTAAAAATATCCTTATATTTATATAATTTTTTGCACAAATGTCATTATAATAATATTATAAGACACTGATAGAAATATTTTTGCCCTTTTCCCTTACTTTGTACTATGATATAATAATTAATATTTAAATATCAACACGTAAAAAATAAACGAGACTCTTAGAACCGGACGAAGATAGTAGTTAATTTGTTTTACAAAAATGTGTTTACTTTTTCTGTATTTACTTTTGTAAGAAGAGAGTTAAAAATATGAATTTAATTTGATAATTTTTTAAATAAATATTCTATAAATAATAAAAATCTTGTAAAAAAAAAATAAATAAATCATAAGTAAACACAACTTTTATGTCTCATTATTGGTGGCATTGTAACTGTAAGACCGTTGTTTTTCAAACCCTAAACGTATAGTTATCCTCAATCATTATTTAGTCATATTAATTAATTGACCTAGCTAGTTTACAATGCAATTTGTATTTATAATTGTTGTTGAATATGATATATATATATTTTATATATAAAATTAAATATTAAATGTGATATTTTTTTATTTTTTATTTTTTTTTAAGTTACTCTCTTCAATTAATTATATTACATTGAAAGCATTCACTTAACTAATAATTAAATAATACACACATCATCCATACTATGTCATTTATTTTTTATTTATTCATAAAAATATATTATAATAAATAATAATAATAAAATCTTAAATATTCTATAGCTTATATCATTCAACATGATATTTATTTATGTATATATACACATTTAATTTATAAAAAAAATCTCATCTTATTAATTTTTTCATATATTCAGGGTCAGGGTCGAGTCTGGGTTCGAACGAGAAGGATGTCCGCCCAAGACTCAATATAAATAAAGATTATTATATTATTATCGCTAAAATTCATCGATGACAGTCCAACGGGTTTATGCTAGTCGAAATCTGGACTACTTAAGAAAGTATCTAGGCTTGGTCTCGCAACGAAAGTTAACGATTGTAATTGCACGGGGAAATTAAACTATTAAATTGAAAGAATCGAAAAAAAATCAGTAGAAACAAAAAGAAATAAGATTATGAAATGTATAATTAGAAAAATAATATGAATTTATGAGCAAAAATAAGAAAAGCAAACAAGAAAGCAAAATAGATAAAAGTTGAATCGTATGTATTATTTTTTGGATGAATTTTCTTCTCATATCTTGGCTCTCCTTTAAATAGCATTTGATGAGTCTTGTCCGTAATATCCTTACTTTCTCATTTTTGTTCCATCATTTTCTCCAATTTTTTATTTTTTGTTTAGAAAAATTCTTTAACTCACTCTCTTATTATCTAATTTATTTCATATTAAAAACTTGTTCTTGTTCTGGGGTTGGATTGGGATTTTTTTGGCCTGGCTCATCTACTCGTTCGTACTGGGCTGCTAATCACCTCCGAAAGTCCAAAATATGTGAGAGTAATATGGCTTGATCTTGATCTGTGGGGGTGAATTTATGGTCACCAAGTTATAAGTTCAAACTTTTAATGCTTAATTTTTATTTTGTTTTGTTTTGTTTTATTTTATTTTATTTTTTATAGATTTATTTGTACATTAAAAATAAAATATTAGATAAAATTAATAATAATACTATTATTGATATTTTTACATCTAAAAGTATGAGAAAATTGTTTTATTTAATTATTGATGATATACATATATATATATATATACATATATTTAGGACCTTTTATTTTTCTTTTGCCCCCGACCTTCTAACTTTACCACTAACCGTGCATATAATTTTTCAAATATTCATACTTTATGCTACAATATTTTTTTTTGTATGTCTTAAATATTTCTAAAATAGAAAATAATTAATTATACTTAATCTCTACCCCATATTTTACCTCATCATATCACCAAAAAAAAAAAAAAAACTATATACATTTCTCTCTTCATCACATCATATTTGATACCATCCACCTAAAAATCCATGTTTAAAGCAAATATTGCACCTTGTATGGAACGTAGGGAGTATAATACTACTAATATATTTATTGACGATATGTGTCCATCTCCGATAAATATATATTTAATGAACAGAAAATATCGAATTACGAAAACACCCTTACATATCAAAAAAAAAAAAAAAACCCTAATATTGTTCTAAATAGGAGTGAGAGAGGGTGGAAATGGTAGTTGAGACAACTAATTAAGTCTAAACCTACCTTAATAATACTTAACTGTCCCTTGCCATTGATCATCACTATTGACACTTTTCAATATAAAACCACATCTCCATTTCACCTAAATAATGATATCTTACAAATATATCATAAATTTTATTATTTACTTTTCGATGGCAAGAACAAATTTATTTCATTACACACCTTTTCTTGTGGCTATTCTTTTGATTCTCCTCCAATTCTATATTTCCTCCGCCGATCGCGACGACGATGAAAACCAACGACCTCCTTTTGTTTCGGGTTTGCTATTATCGTTTTTTTTTTTTTAACAAATAATTTCTTCATTTTCGTCGCGAGAAAGCATAGTTATGATCGTATATAATGTTAGTTCTTAGACCAAAAATATATATATATATATATAATATAATATTTTATTAGTAAACTTATTTCTAAAATATATTTCGAATTTTATATAATTATTTGAATAAAATATTTTGATATCCATTTAATTTGCTTGAATTAATTTTACTATTTTTTGTATTTATTTATTGTTTCTTTTCATTTTTTTTTATTGCTGATTCTATTTTTTTTTTCTAAAGAAAAAAAAATGAACATTTATTTTTTATTTAAATTATTATATTTATCAATTATTTTATTTTAAAAATATTAAAATGAAAAATATGTGAAAATGTATACTCCAAACAATTTAAAATAACCATTTAAAATATTTAAATGTACTAGTAGTATCTTTATTGATAATATTTTATTAAAACAAGTTTTTTTTTTTAATTAAAAATATTAAGACTTTATTTGAAATAATAGATATTTTCGAAATATTATATTTTTATCATTTTATATATATTAAAGAACTAAATTCATTATTAAATTTAAATTTTAAAATATATTATATATTATATTAATATAAAATTATATATTTAAGGATCCTTTTTTAAATTTTGCCTAGAACTTTTTATATTTTATTTTTTTTCCGTGGAAATTAAACTTTCATGAGTATTGTGTTGTTTTCATGTGAAGTGTTCTCTGTAAATCTTGTGTTGATATTTTCTATTTCGTTTCGAATATATATATATATATTTTATCGATTTCTATCTTGTTTTTCGAGTAGATGGATGCAATGGAGCGGCTTGTGGGAGAGGCAAATGTGTGCCTTCGACGTATACGCTTTTAGGGTTTGAATGTGAATGCGAAGAAGGGTGGATGCAAGCTCGAGCTCCCGACGCTAATTTTCTTAAGTTCCTCCCTTGTGTCATTCCCAATTGTAAGCATTCTTTTTATTCAATAATTTTCGAGTTTTTCGATCTCTTCATATTTATCTTGTTCAATTTATACTTGTTAATTACATCATAAATATGGAACCCTCCATTAATTTGTTATATTAGTACAATAACAACATGTTTTAAGAATTTATTTTGATTTTAACTCTAGTATGATGCTTCAAAACTTGAAAGGTTTTGGTCTTATGTTTTAAAAAGAATGTACATTTAGGGTGTGTTTGTTTGGGGGTTTGGATTTTGAGTTGGGATTTGAATAGTAAAAATTTTGAATTTGAATAGTTGTATGATGTGATATAAATAGGTATTGATGTGATATTTTGAATGTAAAATTGATTTCTAGTATAATATAAAAAATAAAAAATAGGTGTTTGATTTGATGTTTTTTAGGGGAAAAAATGGAATGAACAGTGGAAATCTAATACATTAAAATTAAAATTAACCGAAATTCCTAGTGGAATGTTGAAATACCGTATATAATATGTATTTTCTATTTAATACATTACTTATATAATTTTATTTTTTATTTAAAATATTGCATCAACACGCTATATATATTTAGTTGAAGATATTGCATGCAAAATCTATCTTCTATTAAAAATTTTATGATATCCTTAACAACAACAAAAATCCCAAACACAAACAAACACACGTTATGATATTTATAAAATCAATATAAGATTACTATCGGGTGTTGTCATATGTGTAATTTATATTTTATGTACTATTCATCCATATTTAAAGTACTATTAGCACCGTGTTAAATAGTAAATCCGATCCGAAAAATCGAACCCGTTCGACCTGAAATTTTTCAGGTTCGAGTTTGGGTATTTCGGGTTTGAAAAAAATCGGGTCGATCCGAACCTGAAATGAAAAAAATTTGTGTCGTGTTTCGGATTGACCTGATAACCTGAAATATAAAAATCAGGTTAAGTTTTGGGTTTCGTGTTTCGGGTTGACCTGAAATTTTTATTATTATTATTTTAATTTATAATATTTATATTATTTTAAATACAAAATAATAGAAAAATTAAAATAAAAATGATATTTTTTAGGTCAATTTAATTTTTTTAAAAATTTTCGGGTCTGTTTCGTGTCGGGTTCGTATCGGGTTTGTTCGGGTTTCGGGTGACCTGAAACTAATTCAGGTCAACCTGAACCTGACCTGAAAGAATTCGTGTCGTGTTCAAGTCTAAGGTTTTAGGTTAAATTTCGAGTTCGGATTGACAATTTTTTTGTTATCTCCATGACTCAACCCGACACGAATACGACCCAAAAATACGAATCGACACCTCTACCGTGCAGCCTAATTAATGTATATATATATTTATATACTTATTTTTCAGGTACACTAAACTACACATGCGAAGATACAGATCATCCACGTGAATACCCCAACAATCCAAGCATACCACGAGGATTCCCTAATTATCCTTACAATCCGAACCTTCCACATGAAAATCCTAATGGTCCGAACATTCCACGAGAATATCCAAACAATCCTGGTTTTCTCCCAAATAATCCAGAATCTCCAAACAATCCTGGTTTTTTTCCAAATAATCCAGAATCTCCAAACAATCCTAGGTTTCCAAACAATCCTGGTTTTTTTCCAAACAATCCAGAGTTTCCTCCGAATAATCCAGGATTTCCACGTGAATTTCCAAACAACCCAAATAATCCAGGATTTCCAAACAATCCTAGGTTTCCAAACAATCCAGAGTTTCCTCCAAATAATCCAGGATTCCCACGTGAATATCCTAACGATCCTGACAACAATGGACCTAATAACTTCTTTAATCGTAAGTAATATCAAACTATAAGTTTTTACTACAAGGCACATGCATTTTTGCCTTTATACTAAATATATACCGCGTGCAGCTTGCTCGTTTAACGATTGCGGAGGAGGCCTATGCAGCGTAATGTCTCCGATCACACATAGTTGTATTTGCAGAGAAGGGTTTTACAATTTGTTCAATGCAACAATATTTCCATGTTACCGAGAATGTAAGAATTTTACAATATTGTTAATGTTGTTGTTAGTACATCCGAAGAAATTTTTGAAAATTTTCATCAACAATATTTTTTTAGAACCTATGGGCTTAGACAAAGTCTTTAATGCCTTGTTAGGTGCTTTTGGAGCGGGATGTTCTGGTTTACGGATCAACACAACAACCTCGGTCCTCGACCCAAATCCTGTTTTACAAGACAATGGTAAGAATGATCGATAATATAGAAAAAAAAAAAAAGAAAAAAAGAAAAATCAAGAAACTAATAATAAAAATTTGCTTTCTAATAAGATGAATTTAAATAATCACCATAATGATCATGAATTCTTTAAGAATAATAAAATTTTGTTTGGTTTGCACTTCAAATCATTTTTTTTTCTAGTAAAGGATAAAAATGAAATAGTCGTGCGTTTCTTTTGATGAGTTTGAAAAAAATTAGTTTGGGTTTGATATGACAATAATGTTTGATAGAATGTTTTATAAAAAGAAAAAATATATATTTTCTTAAAAAACGAAGAGTCCAAATAATAAAATATGGAGAAACTCGGCTAAAGAAAGTTAGAAATAATTTTACTTCTTTTACTACAAAATTGGAATCACTTTGTATTTGTTACATATACAAAATTATACTTCCTCCGTCCAATTTTTATTATCCTAAAGTATATTTGCACGATTTTTTAGGTGGTTGTCTTTTTTTTTATGAATGGACAAATTTGTCCTTAAGCGTATAGTAAAGATTAAAAGTAATAAATGAATGAAGGATAAAAATGTAAAATTTGTGTTTAAAAAAGGAAATAGGATAATAGTTATTGGACGTCCCAAATAAAAAAAGTAGGATATTAATTTGTGGACGGAGGGATTAAGATATTTTGTGTATATTCTTTTGCAGGTGAAGATCTGATAGGTGGGGCTGAAGTTGGTTGTTTGGTTGCTGTAGTGACAACATTGGCTAATATTATCTTTAAACTTATTTAAATATTGAACTATATATTAATATATATATATATATATAATGTGTATGCACAAAAATTTTACTTATTGATTTTATCATTTACTATTCATTTACCAGAGTTCAAAATTTATTTGAACAGTTGTATTTATGTATGTATTGGCTACAATACTCAAAGTTTTTTTAAAAAAATAAAAATAAAAATAAAAATTTACGTGGGTAAAATTGTTTATAATTCACTTGTGATTTAAAAATTTTGCATTATACTTTCTTATGATTTAAAAATTGTATTAAACTCCCTCGCATTTTAAAAAATATTACACAAAATTTTCTAAAAATTGTATAAAATTTCTTTTAAAAAAATATTTTGTGCAATATTTTGAAAATATAAGATAATCTCGTGTAATATTTAAATCATGAGAAAGATTTATGTATACTTTTCAAACCAGGAGTGTATTATAAGTATTTTTTATTGAGTAAATTTTATTTTAAATAAAAAATGTCAATTACTACGAATATGAAAAATAAAAAATATGTCAATTAAGATGAAATATTTGGAGTATAATACTCCATCCGTCCCAAACACCCTGCAACATTTTTGTTTTGATATGTCCCAAACACCCTGCAATATTTCCAAAATAGAAAATAATTAATTATACTTAATGTCTGCCCTACACTTTATCCCCTCACATCATCCAAATAAAAAAATAAAATTTATATTTCTCTCTCCATCACGTCACCTAATTTCTAAATTATCCTACTTAATACTACCCACCTAAAAACCCGTGCTAAAAGTAAATGTTGTACCTTGTTTGGGACGGAGGGAGTATTATATATACACAAAAGTGTTTAGAAGATCACTACAAAAAAAATAATATACTTGTAACGGAATTCCATCCCTAAAGTTTACGTAGCTAACGTAATTTCATTCCTAATTCCATCTCTAATGTCATTAGTAACGGAAAAAATAAATTTAAAAACAAAAATATTTTGTTAGAAAAATAATTTTTTCTTGTGGATTAAAAATTTGCATAATAATCATATGCATTAGGGGACAAAGAACTGCCAACAAACAAATCCATATAATAAACATGTGAATCCACTCGTCCAAGCTCTGTCCACAATTTTTGTGGACAAAATAATATCTTGCAACTCTTTTTTTTTTTTTTTTTTTTTTTTTTTTTTAAATTAGTATATTTTAATTTTGAGTTAGTTGATATATATATTTATAATAATTTTTGAAATCCATAAATTTTGTAAAGTAAAATAATAATGATTTTGTTCTATTGTTAATTTCTCACAAAATTTTTGTTACTATACATTTAAAATATTTTATTAACGTCTTTATATTTTTATATAAAAAAATATTTAAATTTAAAATTTTATTATTTATAAAATTTCAATGGAACACACATCCTTAATCAAATTCACTCTATTTATATAGATATTCTAAAAGTTTAACAAATTTACTTACAAAATAATTTCTATACCAATCTAGTTACAAAATTAAAATAATACTCCCTTCATTAAAATTTTATTATTCTAAAGTATATTTGAACAATTTTTTAGGTAGTTTTTTTTTTTTTTTTTTATAAATAGACAAATTTGTCCTTAATGATATGGCAGAAATTAAAAATAGTAAATGAATAAATGGTAAAAAAAGTAAAATTTGTGTTTAAAAGAAGAAATAGGACAATAATTATTATACATTCCAAATAAAAAAATAAAACTTTAATCGTAGATGGAGAGACTAAAATTTACTGAACTAAAAATACAGTTTTTTCATAAATATTTGATTTTTTTTATTTTTTTTTTGGGAACAAACACCACCCTCTATAAAACTGAACCGATATTTTTATAAAAGATTAAAAGTGAAATAAAATAAATAAAATAAGCTTCAAATTGCTCTAGCTTCATCCTACAGTAGCCAATTCCGCCGGCGACTACCCGCCGCCATGGACGCCGCCAAGGAAGTTCTCACCGACCTCTCCCCCTTCATCAAGATTTACACCGACGGCACCGTCGAGCGACTCTTATCCACGCCGTACGTCCCTCCGTCGCCGGACGACTCCGCCGCCGCCGTCTCCACCAAAGACGCCGTCATCTCCTCCTCCATCTCCGCCAGACTTTACCTCCCAAAACTCACCGGCGCCGCCGCCGCCCAGAAGCTCCCCATCGTCGTTTACTACCACGGCGGCGGATTCTGCATCGGCTCCGCCTTCTCTTTACTCGAAAACCGCTACATTTCCATCCTCGCCGCCGAGGCCGCCGCTCTCATCGTCGCCGTCGAGTACCGCCTGGCGCCGGAGCACCCCCTCCCGGCGGCGTACGACGACGCCTGGGACGCCTTCAACTGGGTCTGCTCCCACGCCGCCGCCGGCGGCGGTTCCCAAAACAAAGACCAATGGATCTGCGACCACGGCGACTTCTCCCGTCTGTTCATCTCCGGCGAAAGCGCCGGCGCCAACCTCGCCCACTACATCGCCCTGCGCGCCGGCGACGGCGGCGATCCTCTGCCGGGAAACGTGAAAATCGACGGCGTAATTCTGTCGCATCCGTTCTTCCTGTGGGGATCGAATCCTGAATCGGAAAAGAATGACTTTCTGCGGTTTCACGAGAGACTCTGGGAGACGTTCTGGCCGGCGGCGGACGGCGGTCTGGACAACCCGCGGGTCAGCCCGGCTGGAGATGGGGCTCCGAGTTTGGCCGGGTTGGGGTGCTCCCGGATCCTGATATGTTCGTCGGAGAAGGACGCGCTGAGGGATGGGGCGATAGTGTACGAAGAGGGAGTGAAGAGGAGTGGTTGGAAAGGGAAGATCGAGAGTGTACACGTGGACGGCCAGGATCACTGCTTTCATTTGTATGATCCTCAGACGGACGAGTCCATGAAGCTTATCGCCAAATTCGCTTCTTTCATCTCCAAATCAAAATGAGGCCGTAGGGTGCTTAGTCCTAATCAAATAATAATAATAATAATAATAATAATAATAAAAGATATATTAGAATGTTGACTAGGGCTTCATTAGCACCGGCACATCTAATATAGTTTGATATTATATGATGTATGTTTTATTTTATTGATTGTTGTCAAAGTGAGAGTAAAAGTATTGTAAGAAATTATGTAATTTTGCTTCTAAAAAATAATACTCCCTCGGTCTTAGATACCGTGTCTGCTACATTATAGACACGGTATTTTAAGAAGGGTGTAATTAATAGATAATTAAGAATGTATTAGTGAAAATAATTATTTTATAATATAAATAATTATAAATTAAAATTAAGATAACTAATTAGTTTAATTAAAATTTTAAAAAAAATAAAATTAAAAAATTTAAAATGAGATTAAAGTGTGTAATTATTTTCTAAAAAAGGAAAGTGACATGGTACGTGGGATGGACATAAACGACAACGTTGACATAGTATCTGGGACGAATGGAGTAATATTTTAATATATAAGAAAGGAATTAAATAAAAAAAAAATAAAAATATTGTAAAAAATTATTAACAAAAATATATGTAAAAATTAGTTATTATTTGCTAAAATAAAAGGTAATAAAATTAGTGATGAATAAAATTATTTATTATAAATAGATTACAAATAAGTTTAACTGACAATATAAAAACATCAGAGATAAAATGTGTCAGTTGATTTGGCTAGTTGGTTGAATTTGGCTAGTTGATTAGCTATTTGTATTAAAATAAAATGATAATTCAAGACATTTATATTTTGTTTTTTAAAATATTCAATTAAGTTCTTTTGTGTCTGGAAATTTTTAAAATTTTTGTTATTAGTTATTAAAAATTGTAAAAGTGTTATAAAATACTCTATTTCATCCAATTCATAAGTAACATTACTTTTAGTGCAAAATTTAAGAAAAGTAATACTCCCTCCGTCCCGCAACAAGGGTGGCATTTGCTTTTTGCACGTAGATTTTTGAATAGTAATATTATATTGGATTGTAGTAAAAAAGACAAAAATATCCCTATTAGTATAGTATAATATAAAAATAATGGCATTTGTGTAATATATTGTAAGTTGAAAGGGTATTTTTTACGTAAAGCAGGTAGTACAATTACTAAATTAGGAAATGATAACCTTGTTTTGGAACAAATGAAAATGAAAAATAGTAACATTTCAATGGGACGGATGGAGTATTTGAATTGAAGTGGACAATTAAAAGTAGCTTAAAAATAGTTTTACTCTAATTTTTTGGTATCATTTTTTTAGTTTATTTATTAGTGTCAATCATCATTGGCGATTCTATGATGAAACAATATCTTCACTTAAATTGTTGTTTAATACCTTCCTTAGACATCATTAGTGAAAAAAACTTATCACTATTATGAAATATCAAAATCGTGTTATAGCGTTGGCTGCAAAGTGGCCTAAAACTTGTCACATATATTTGATATATTTATCAAAATATTGCAATACACTTGGGTGGAATAATTTAAGAACATAAAGATTTTACAACTGACTTTCGGAGATGCATTTATGATTGTTATAAGAAGATGGTTTCCGCACAAATTGAATGAAATGTTGGTGAAATATAATATATTATTAGAAAATGATTGAGAAAATTCTTTAAAGTAAGAGAGATATGAGGCTCGGTATATAAGCGCGAATTTTTCTGTGTTGATATTACTACGAGACAATATTGTAAAAGTATTAATAATATCATAATAAAGATGTGTAAGTTCAAAGAATTCTTTGCAAATATTTTTTGGACGATTCACAAATTCGATTGAATTCACCCATATAAAGAGTTGACGGCTGATTTCAAAATAATAACAAGTGCTCTAGTTTTTTTTATGTCCTATATCCTTTAAATTTTTAAAAGTTTTTAAAAGAAATTAGAAAAGACTTATGATTGTATAAGAGTTCTTACCGGCACTGATGGAGCAGTAACTAGATACCATATCAATAATATTAAAAGATCAAAGTATCATGTTGTAAAATTTAATTCTTTAAATGATATTTTTTCTTATATAATTTTATTTTTTTGTGATAAATTAAAAAAATATTATTATTTTATTGATCGGTAAAAATATATAAAATAGATTTTATATTTTTGTCATTCATAATACAATTTCTTAATAATTTTAATATTTTGATATAATTATTTTTTACTGTAACCGAATAATGCTTGTGGGCAAAAATATATAAAAAATAGTATATACTCACTATATTAAATTGAGAAAAGCTAATATATTATATTTTATCATTGGCCTTTAAAAATCATATTTATTTTTGCGTTATTATAATTTATATTAAAAATATTTTTAAATTTGTATATATATTATAATAAATCTATCTATTAATATTATAAGAGATTAATAAAAAAATTTATAATTTTTTTAATTTATATAATATTTTAATATAATAATTTAATTGGTAACAAAAAAAACTTAAATATAATTTTTACATTATATTTTTACATCTAACTGATATAAGTATAAAATATTTTAATATTTTATATTTTAATTTAATTGGTAACAAAAAAAACTTAAATATAATTTTTACATTATATTTTTACATCTAACTGATATAAGTATAAAATATTTTAATATTTTATATTTTAATTTAATTGGTAACAAAAAAAACTTAAATATAATTTTTACATTATATTTTTACATCTAACTGATATAAGTATAAAGTTCGAGTCTCACTCCATTATTGAATAATCAATACCGCCGCCGCCTTCCACCGCCGGCGCCATGGCCGCCACCAAGGAAGTTCTCACCGATCTCTCCCCCGTCATCAAGCTTTACACCGACGGCACCGTCGACCGGCTCATGTCCTCTCCCTACGTCCCTCCGTCGCCGTTGCCGGACGACTCCGCCACCGGTGTCTCCACCAGAGACGCCGTCATCTCCCCCACCGTCTCCGCCAGACTTCACCTCCCAAAACTCGCCGCCGGCCAGAAGCTCCCCATCCTCGTTTACTACCATGCCGGCGGATTCTGCATCGGCTCCGCCTTCTCTCTCCTCGATCACCGGTACATGAACACCATCTCCGCCGCCGCCGCCGCCCTCGCCGTCTCCGTCGACTACCGCCTCGCGCCGGAGCACCCCCTCCCGGCGGCGTACGACGACGCCTGGGATGCCCTCAACTGGGTCTGCTCCCACGCCGTCGCCGTCGCCGGCAGCGGCCATCCCAAATCCCAAAACACAGACCAATGGATCTCCGACCACGGCGACTTCTCCCGTCTGTTCATCGCCGGCGACAGCGCCGGCGGAAACATCGCCCACCACATGGCCCTCCGCGCCGGCTCCGATTCTCTGCCGGGAAACGTCAAAATCCGCGGCGCAATTTTATCGCATCCGTACTTTCTGATGAATTCGGAATCGGAGGAGAATTGGAAGCTGAGGTTTCTGGAAAGGATGTGGCGGATGGTTTGGCCGGCGGCGGGCGGCGGAATTGACAGTCCGATGATTAACCCGGTTGCAGATGGGGCTCCGGATTTGTCCGGGTTGGGGTGCTCCAGGATCCAGATTTGTGTGTCGGAGAAGGACGCGCTAAGGGATGGGGGGATTACGTACGCTGAGAAAGTGAAGAGCAGTGGGTGGAAAGGAGAGATCGTGACCGTCCAAATCGACGGTGAGGATCACTGCTTTCAATTGTACGATCCTCACACTGACAATGCCTGCAAGCTTATCACCAAAATCGCTTCTTTCATTTCCAAATTAGAATAGGTATTATAAAAAACTATTATAAATATTTTTATATTTTCTTTTAATTTGTATTATGTATTTTGATATAATACTCTCTCCGCCATTTGACAAACTGTCAATTTTTTTTTTTATTTTTGTAGGTCTGATAACAAAATATCTATTTAAGTTTTTAGTAATCGTATTATCTATCTAACATTATAAATATTATTATAAGTTACAATATATTATATAAATGTTATTATTTTTATACCATACAATAAAAATAAGGTTTATTTTAGTTATTTTTCCTGTATTCATACTCCCTCCGTCCTACATAATTTGTCCCTACTTGTCATTTCGATTTTTTGAAATATAATTATGCACTTTAATCGCATTTTAAATTTTAAAATTTATAATTTTCTTAATTTTAATTAAATTATTTATTTATCTTAATTTTAATCTATAATTATTTTTACTAAATAATAATGATTTTTACTAATACACTTCTTAATTACTTATTAATTATATTTTATCTAAATTTCGGTATCTACAGTAATACATACGCCCATGTTATATGGAACGAAGAGAGTACTATATATCAATATAATACTAATATATCTTAAATTTTGTGTAAAAAAATAAATTGATACTTAGAGGACAGATGGAGAAATTAATATTAAAAAATTAATATGCTAAAAGTTCGTAGTATCTTTTTTTATAGAATAGAGGAAATATTTTTACTTGTGATTGATGACTATACACTGTGATTGATTGCTATACAATTTTTTACATTATCATAATATATATATCTTACGTCTCACATATTATATTATATTTTTTATTTTTGTGTATTTCTCATATTATGTCAATTTTTTTAATATAATAATTATATATTTTAATCATATTTTAAAATACCCTATCAGATAACAGAGGTGTTAAAATTAAACTCGATTTAAAAAATCGAATCACCTAAAGTTTTTTAGATTCGAGTTTGAACATTTCAGGTTTGCAAAAAATCGAATCGATCCAAATCCGAAATGAAAAAAAAAATTTGTGTGGTATTCGAGTCGTATTTCGGGTTGACCTGATAACCCGAAATATAAAAATCAAGTCAAGTTTCGAATTTCGTATTTGAGGTTGATAATATAAATGTCTCCTACACACCCGAACAGAATAGGGTTGTTGAGAAGATGAACCGGACCCTCTTGGAGAGAATTCGAAGTCTTTTGGATTCATCCAATTTATTTAAAAAAATTTGGAGGAAACTGTTATGATAACCGTTTATATAGTCAATAGATCATCCTCAAATTCTTTGAATGGTGCTTGTCCTGAATTTAGGTAGACTGATAGAAAAATTGATTGTTCAAATATTCAGATGTTTGAGTGTTTTTATACATGTTAATAATAACAAATTAGACCCTAGAGCTGAAAAATGTATTTTCTTGGATTATCTGGAGGGAGTTAATGGTATAGATTGTGGTTAAACTATAAACTGAATTTAAAACTGTTATCAGTAGAGATGTTATTTTCGATGAAAATAAGATGTTCTATTTAAATACTGGAAAATCTATTTTGGATAAATTTGAAATTAATACCGAAAATTTAGACTATAGTAATCTCCAAATAAAATGTAAAAAATGTTATAATTATGGTGATCCTAACCAAATCTAGTAAAAACTTTTTCGATTTCGTAACAAATCTTTCGATCCGTTCTTATTTTTTTAATTACAATAAAAAAAATAAAATAAAAATGAATTTTTTATTAGGTTAATTTATATTTTATTAAAAATTTTGGATCTATTTCGTATCGGGTTTGTTCGAATTTTGAGTGACCTGAAACTAATTCAAGTCAACCTGAACCCGACCGGAAAGAATTCGTGCCATGTTCGGCTCTAGGATTTCAGGTCAAATTTCGAGTTCGAGTTAGGTTCAGGTTGACATTTTTTTTTGTTTATCCAATGGCTCAACCCGATACGAACACAACCCGAAAACACGAATTGTCACCCATACTCCCTCCGTCCTAACTTAACACCTTTCATTAGGTACACAGTATTTAATAAAATGATATTTAATCCGTTAATATAATGAGTTATGATATTATTTTATTATTTTTTATGTAATTAATAATGTTGATAGTTTTGAAATAAATTATATATATAATTAAAAAATAAAAAAGTATTTGTAAATATTTTAAAAATTATAACGCAATAAAAATATATGCAATATGGATATCATTTGGTAAAAAATAAAATTTTCTATAATATACTTATAGTTAATATAAATTAATTTTATTAAATAGGTGAAATTTTAAATATAGATAAAAATATTTACTTTTTTAGGATGGAGATAGAAATAAAAAGATTTTGAGTGGTTCCTAAATGATATGTTATATAGATAATTAAATTAATTTATATTTGTTGATTATATTTTAATTTGGTAAATTTTGCCTAGAATAAAAAGATGTTAATTGTTATGGAATAGACAAAAAAGAATAATACTCCCTCCGTCCCATTAAAAGGTTATCATTTTCTAATTTAGTAATTGTACTACCTACTTTAACATAATAAATACTCTTTCAACTTATAATATATTACACAAATGTCATTACTTTTATATTACACCATACTAATAGGGATATTTTTGTTTTTTTACTACAATTCAATATAATACTAATATTAAAAAATCTACGTGTAAAAAACAAACGTCACCCTTCCAATGGGACGGAGGGAGTATTAATTGTGGTGAGACGGAGAGAGTATATATATATATATTTCAAAATATCGTATAATTGCAATTTTTTTTAATTTTTTTTTTCAAACTCCAAAATCTTTTAAGGGTGTGTTTGTTTGGGGGTTTGGATTTTGAGTTGCAATTTGAATAGTAAAAATTTTGAATTTGAATAGTTGTATGATGTGATATAAATAGGTGTTGATGTGATGTTTTGAATATAAAATTGATTTTTAGTATAATATAAAAAATGAAAAATAGGTATTTGATTTGATATTTTTGGAAATAAAAATGAGATGAATAGTATAAATCCAATCCAATCCCCCCAACAAACACACCCTATATATATACTAGAACACGCTCTTGCGCGGTATACCGCGCGACTATTCTATAATGTAATGTAGTGAAACATTATTTATTTGAAATATAAACTGTAAAACAAAAATACAATCGAATTATTTGCGCTCAGGTCGGTTGGTCCTCGGTCGGTTGGTCTGGTCGGTTGGTCAGGTGGGTTGGTTAGCTGTCGGATAGGCAGGTCGGAAGGTCCTCGGTCGGTTGGTCTGGTCGGTTGGTCCTCGGTCGGTTGGTTAGCGGTGGGATAGACAGGTCGGAAGGTCCTCGGTTGGTTGGTCTGGTCGGATGGTTGGCGGTTGGACAGACAGGTCTGATGGTCAGCAGGTCGGACAGACAGGTCTGATGGTCTGCGGTCGGATAAAGTAGGTCGGCTGGTCTGCGGTCGGATAGGCAAGTCAGCTGGTCCGCAGGCGGATAGATTGAGATAAGAAGGGTGACCCTGCATCTCTAGTTTTGAAATGTCAAAAATAGCAAAGATATTTCAACTTTGATAATTGTTACGCACAAATAATAATAATAATAATAATAATAATAATAATAATAAGGATAGCAGGATCTTAAAGGAAGTTAGATACAAAGTCGGGTGGAAATGGAGAAAAATTTGCGCTCAGGTTGGTTGGTTGGATGGTCAGATGGGTTGGTTAGCGGTCGGATAGGCAGGTCGGAAGGTCCTCGGTCAGTTGGTCTGGTCGGTCGGTTAGCGGTGGGATAGGCAGGTTGGAAGGTCCTCGGTCGGATTGTTAGCGGTCGGACAGACAGGTCTGATGATCTGCGGTCGGATAAAGTAGGTCGGCTGGTCTGCGGTCGGATAAAGTAGGTCGGCTGGTCTGCGGTCGGATAGGCAAGTCAGCTGGTCCGCAGACGGATAGATTGAGATAAGAAGAGTGACCCTGCATGAGTTTTGAAATGTCAAAAATAGCAAGGATATTTTAACTCTGATAATTGTTACGCACAAAAAAAAATAATAATAATAATAAAAATAAGGATAGCAGGATCTTAAAGGAAGTTAGACATGAAGTCGGGTGAAAAAGGAGAAAAATTTGTGCTTAAGTCGGTTGGTCAGGTGGGTTGGTCGGATGGTCAGGTGGGTTGGTTAGCGGTCGGATAGGCAAGTCGGAAGGTCCTCGGTCGGATGATCAGGTCAGTTGGTTAGCGGTGGGATAGGCAGGTCGGAAGGTCCTTGGTCGGTTGGTCCTCGGTCGGATGGTTAGCGGTCGGACAGACATGTCTCATGGTCTGCGATCGGATAAAGTAGGTCGGCTGGTCTACGATCGGATAGGCAAGTCAGCTGGTCCGCAGGCGGATAGACTGAGATAAGAAGGTGACTCTGCATCTCTTTATGAGTTTTGAAATGTCAAAAATAGCAAGGATATTTCAACTTTGATAATTGTTACGTACAAAAAATAATAATAATAAAAATAAAAATAAGGATAGCAGGATCTTAAAGGAAGTTAGACACGAAGTCGGGTAGAAAAGGAGAAAAATTTGCGCTCAGGTCGGAAGGTCCTCGGTCGGTTGGTCAGGTCGGTTGGTTAGCGGTCGGATAGGCAGGTCAGAAGGTCCTCGGTCGGTTGGTATGGTCAGCTGGTCCTCGGTAGGATGGTTAGCGGTCGGACAGACAGGTCTGATGGTGGTCTGCAGTCGGATAGGCAAGTCAGCTGGTCCGCAGGCGGGTAGACTGAGATAAGAAGGGTGACCCTGCATCTCTTTATGAGTTTTGAAATGTCAAAAATAGCAATGATATTTTAACTTTGATAATTGTTACGCACAAATAATAATAATAATAATAATAATAATAATAATAATAATAATAATAATAAGGATAGCAGGATCTTAAAGGAAGTTAGACACGAAGTCGGGTGGAAAAGGAGAAAAATTTGCGCTCAGGTCGGTTGGTCAGGTCGGTTGGTCGGATGGTCAGGTAGGTTGGTTAGCGGTCGGATAGGCAGGTTGGAAGGTCCTCGGTCGGTTGGTCTGGTCAGTTGGTCCTCGGTCGGATGATCAGGTCGGTTGGTTAGCGGTCGGATAGGCAAGTCGGAAGGTCCTCGGTCGGTTGATCTGGTCGGTTGGTCCTCGGTCGGATGGTTAGCGTTCGGACAGACAGGTCTGATGGTCAGAAGGTCGGACAGACATTTCTGATGGTCTGCGGTCGGATAAAGTAGGTCGGCTGGTCTGCGGTCGCAAAGGCAAGTCAGCTGGTCCGCAGGCGGATAGACAGGTCGCTTGGTGGGTGCGGCCAAGGAGTCTTTTGGTCTACCGATTGGTCTCTGGATTGGTTGGGTGGGCTATTTGAGTTCTGGAACTGGTGGAGGCGTTTGGCGAGGCGGTTGATGTAACTGGCCTGACGACGTTCCAAAACGTTTCGTCTTGGGCGGTTGACGACGGTTCCAAAACGTCTTTTCAAGCAAGTACAAAGTAGGTTAAGGGCTAAATTGTCATTTTTTAAATGAGGGGTAAGATAGACTTTTCAAGTGGCAGATCCGTACAAACTCGTATTTATAAGATATAATATATCTTTATTGAAACAAAGCTTTCTTTATTTTAAATATAGAGGATTGAAAAAAACAAAAAATTTAATGGTAAAATATAGAGAATTGTATAAATAATATAAATAATGAACGTACATAGTATATTGATTTTTTCAAAAGAATATTTTGATTTTTTTTTGAAAAAAAAAACCTATACTATTTTCACTTTTTACATTGGTATGTTTGGAAATAAAAATTAAAAAATAATAATATAATATATTATTAAAAAATTGTTAAAAATAATGAGTTAAATAGAAAATTAGCTATAAGTATTTGTTAAAATAGAAGTAATACAGTAAAATCATTTATAGATAAAATTCTTTTCTACAAATAAATTATACAAACATTAGCTGACAAAGAAAAAATAATCATGAAAAATGAAAATATTATCTCCGTTTCACAAAAAAAAAAAAAAAAATCAATTTTTTTTTGTATTATTATATTTAACATTAAATATATTGTTATATTTATATAATTTACTTCGTAAATATCATTGTATATATTATAAAAATTTAATAGAGATATTTTTTGTTATTTTTTTAATTTATAATATATATTAATATAATAATTAATATTTAAATATCTACGCACAAAAAATCAATAATATTCTTTTATATGACGGAAGTAGTATTTTAAAAAAAACATGAAAAAGGTATATATTTAATTAAAATAACGTAACAAAATATATATATTTATATCAAAGTAATAACTTAAATATGTTGTATTGGTTATATTAAAAAAGTACTTTCTCCGTCCTACATATCATGTCCATGTTGCCGTTTCTGTCTATCCCACGTATCATGTCACTTTCCTTTTTTGGAAAATGATTACACACTTTAATTTCATTTTAAATTTTTTAATTTTTTTAAGATTTTAATTAAACTAATTAGTTATTTTAATCTTAATTTATAATTATTTATATTATCGGATAATTATTTTTACTAATACATTCTTAATTATTTACTAATTACACCCCTCCTAAAATATCGTGTCTACAGTGTAGCAGACACGGTATGTGGAACGGAGGGAGTAATAATCTAAATATTTATTTTTTATTTTACTTTTAAAATAAAAGTAAAATACTACTCCATTCCTTCGTATCGTATACTGTAGTTTTCTCTATTTGGGCTATGTTTGTCTTGGGAGTTTGGATTTTGTATTGAGATCTAAATAGTAAAAAATTTGCATTGAATAGTTGTATGATATGATACAATTGATGTGATGTTTTGAATATAAAATTGATTTTTTATATAATATAACAAATAAAAATAGGTGTTGCTTTGATATATTTTAGAGGAAAAAATTGTGTGAATAGTAGAAATCCACCAAAATCCTTCGAACAAAATTCTTTTAGGGACTGTTTGGTTCATGGACTTTTTTGGTAGGATTGAGATTTCACAGTAGGATTTATATGTGATGGGATTTATTATATTTAGATTTGGAATCCCATATTATGTTTGGTTGGTAAAATATGGTGGGATTTATATTTCGTGGATTTGGATTTTTTATATTCTAAATGACATAATTGTCCTCTCTTGTGAATTTTATTCATTTTGACAAATTAAACCTCTAATTCATTATTAATATAAATTGAAAATATATCAATAATTTTATAGGATGACAATAGATTCGCGTAAACTCGAGACCCGACCGAGCCCGACCTATTTATTTGAAGTTGAGTCCAATTATTTAAGTATTAGGCCTGGATCTGGATCATGATCGGGGTAATATAATAATAATATATCAACCATAAATATTAAAAAATAATTTCGAATAATATAATTATATTAATTTTTTTTTTAGTTTAACGTATTCATTATTTTATTATAATATTTTTCTAATAAAACACATAAATTTTAATATACATTGGATCTGGTACATATGTAATTTTAAATTAAAATTTTAGAATTGTAAAAAAAATGGATTTTTCGGATCCATCAAGTCTTACCGGGTATAGTCTCGGTCGGATCTAGTATAATCGGATCCAATTTGAATCTTGGATTTAACAATATATATTTGGGATAAATATCAGTTCCGACTGAATCCGACTTATGGTGGTCCCTATAATTTTATAATTCAAATAAAATTTATAATAAATAATAATTTAAACAATAAATTTATTAATTTATTTAAAAAATATTGTACAATAAAAAATAATATAAATTTAATTAAGTATATAATTCAAATAATAATTAATGTTAAAATTATTTAATTTTTTATATAAATATAATACTATTATTTTTTTTTTTTATAAGAGAATATAAATGTAAAAATTAAAAATTTCAAGAATAGGATTTAAAAGTAACAGGGGTATCCCCATTACAAAAAAATCCCTTATTTGTAGGATTTTAGATCATTTTTTCAAATCCCATCATTTTAAATTCCACCTTCTTTTTTTTAACCAAACATGGATTTCATAGGATTTTAAAATCCAAATCTCATGGAATCCCATCAAATCTTGAACCAAACAGCCCCTTAGTATTTCTGTCTATTACATTAAAAAATACCTTCTTCATTCCGCGCGACAGATGATCTATTTTTACTTTTTTGTTTGTTTCATCAAAGATGAGCCATTTATACTTTTTAGTAAATTTATTTATTTTAAACATATTTAATAAATATAAATTAATTTAATTAAATTTCAAACCTTTGACACATGAACAACTCACTAAAAATCTCTTTATTCTTATCTCTCTCATCAATAAATAGTAATATTTTTATATATATTTAAAATTTCTCATTTTTTATAAATTAGCTTTAAGTTAATTATAGATAAATAAATAATTTCTTTTTTACTTATTTGTATTATATAAAATTTTATTCTCTATAAAATTTAAAAATAATATATTGTATATATTTTATTGAGATATAATGCTAAAAATATTTAAAATACCAATAATACTATTTATATAAAAAATAGTAAAATAATATTCTCTTCGTCCCACTTATCGTGTTCACCTTTCTATTTCGGTATATCTCACTTATTCTGTACTTTCTTTTTTTTTAAAAAAAAAAATATTATACACTTTAATCTCATTTTTAAATTTTTAATTTAATTTTTTCAATTATAATTATAATTAGTTATCTTCATCTTAATTTAAAATTATTTTTTTAGTAAATAATAATTATTTTTGCTGAATACATTGTTAATTATTTAGGGGGATACGATACCTGAGACTGAGACGGAGGGGAGGGAATATTATAACTTATTTTTAATAATTCACTAACGTACACTATTCAAAAGGTCTAACTAAATAAGTCTTTTTGATCGAGACAAATGTAGGGTGTGTTTGATAATTAGTTGATAGCTTTTAGCTGATTCGATTAGCTGTTTCAATTAGTTGGTTTGATTAGCTGATTCGATTAGCTATTTCAATTAGTTGGTTTGACTAGCTGATTCGATTAACTATTTGTATTAAAGTGTTGATAAAACAAACGGTTTGATATTAGCTGTTTATACAATGACAATTAAGAATATTTTATATTTTATTTTCAAAATATTTAGTTGAATTTTTTCGGATGTAGACTTTTTTATAATTTTATTATTAATTTTAAAAATTAGAAAATTTTTAGTAAGATATTTATTTTTATTATTTTAAAAATATATTGTAAAGAAATAATGCAAATTCATTGAAAAATATATATATTTTTTCATTTTCTAGTATAAATATAAAATAGTAAAAATTATTAACATATGTATTTTTATAAGATTAATTTTTAATTATTATATATTTACATTAAATTTATAATTTTAAATAAATATATTCATTTTTAATAAAAATAGTATGGATAAAAAATGATATGTAATTGATTCAATAATATTAATATTTTTGTATTATCTTTATTTCAAAAAATTATAAATAATTATAAATAAGATAATTGGCATATATAAAAATAATTATTTTAAATTTATAAATATGAATTTATAAGTTATTAAAAAAATATATATCTAAATAATTGATAAATAGTGTAATAGAAAAATATATGAATATATATGAAAGAATTAATTAATTTTAAAGGCAAATAAAAAATAAAAAATATTAAAATGAAAAAGCTAATATAAAATATTGATATATACAGTTTTTTTAAAATTAGCTTTTCTGACAGATCAAATAACTAAAAGTTTTCAAACTGTTTACCAAGCACACTCGTAGTATTTTTTTATAAAAGTAATAATACAATTTTTAATTTAAAAAAATAAAAAATAATAATTTTATTTTATTTTATCACACTGTTCAAATAAAAAAATAACAAATATTTATTGTTTATATCATTTAATTTTCAATTTATTGGAGGTAATACTTTTCAAATATTAGAAATAAAATTTTCAAAAATATAAAAAATAAATAAATAAAAACCAAAAAAAATAAAAATAAATAAATTGTTATCTTCGAGGCACTTACAGGCTTTTACAGTTACAGCGTCAGCAAAGAAAAGAAAAGAGGACAGGGGGATCTATGAAGTTCCTTCCTTCTTATAACCCAAAATAGCTATAAGAAAAAATCACTGCAAAATCTCTCCATTCAGCATCAGGGTTCGCAGTTTTCGGAATTCCGAAGAATCAGATTTGTGCTCTACTTCTACTAAGAGGTAATATTACAAGTTTCTGTCTCGATTAATTTTGTTATTAGAATTTACTTGCTGTTCTAACACAGTGACCCCAACTTTCGGAGATACATCCATTTTCCTTTTTTTTGTTGTTATAATTTTTACCTAATTTGTTGTGCAGTGAAAATGTAGGGTTTAGTTTGTACATTCTGCGTTAACGGAAATGGCCAATTTGATATATTTATTTCTTTTTAAATATAGGTTGACGACTGTTGTTTGGAATTCTTGCTTGTGGTTCTATCCGTTTTGGAAGGTTTTATTACCAATTTTCATGCATATAGAGTGTTTTGTGAACAATTTTATGTTCCGTGGGGAATTTGATTGTTATTTGAGTTTTTTTCGCATTTGATTTGTTTGTAGAGATGTGCCTTGTTCGGATGATTTTTGGAAGTTTTTTGAGTTTTTGAAGTTGCTTATAGTTTGTGAACTTGAACAATGAAGAAGGTGATTTTTGAAGTGTATAATTGATTATAGTATTCTGGTATATGTAGTGAATCAATGTTAGATTGATAGTTAGTTTTAATGTGTAGGTTAGTGAGTTTTGTAGATATAATTGAACAGATTGGTTAGGGCTGAGAGTGATGATCGAATTACTATTGAACAGTTCAATCTCTAAGAGAAGAGAAAATGTGAAATTCGGCATTGTTTTGCTTTCTGCAATAGCTGTTTTTGTTTGTTATTTTATAAGATTTGGTGAATATAATTCCATACGCCGCATTTCCGGATTTGGAGTATACGGTTCCTTGTTTGTTTATACATTCGATTTTATATTTATACACCTTGTCTTGTATCCATTATTGCCTGCGTTTGTTTGAAGTTTAATTAGTTTGGTGGAATGTCGAGTTTTACTTATTTGGCAAGTTCTGCTACTATGGCTACTTATTTTGTCGTAATCTTTGCGAAATGAAATACGGTTTTCTTTAGCTCCTTTTAATTGTTTTTCATTCTTTTGATTTTTTGGTAAGTGTATAGCAGAATGGGAAGCTCAGATGGAGCCAATTACAGATCGTTCACATATGAAAGCCTCGAGAGAGAGCCCTACTGGCCCTCAGGAAAGCTCCGGATATCTGTCACAGGTGCCGGAGGGTTCATTGCTTCTCATATAGCGAGGCGTTTGAAGAGCGAGGGACATTACATTATTGCTTCGGACTGCAAGAAAAACGAGCACATGGCTGAGGATATGTTCTGCCATGAGTTCCATCTCGTTGATCTTAGGTTGATGGAAAACTGCGTCAAAGTTACCGAAGGAGTTGATCACGTGTTCAACCTGGCAGCCGACATGGGAGGGATGGGCTTCATCCAGTCAAATCACTCTGTTATTATGTACAACAATACAATGATCAGCTTTTGTATGCTTGAGGCAGCAAGAATCAATGACGTCAAGCGGTTAGTATCTTTAAAGTCGAATCTGATTCTGTGCTTCCATGTCGTGCATTTATGCGTGTTTTTGACTTGGAAATAAGATATCATTGGCGCAATGCGTGTGCTTATATTTGGAATTTGATGACATTTAACTCACTATTCGACAAATCAAACACGTTTTGTGAAATTCCTATTTGCATCTTTTATGATTAAAAACCATTTTCAGTCATTCAGAAATGTATGTCGATGTCTTGCATATTCATAATTATTTCTTTCTTTCTGTACATATTTTGCGGGACAATCTCTTAACATTGTTGTATTTGTATTTGGTGTTGTTTAAGGTTTTTCTATGCATCGAGCGCGTGCATCTACCCTGAATTTAAGCAGTTAGATACAAACGTGAGCTTGAAGGAATCTGACGCATGGCCAGCTGAGGTTTCCATCTTTTTATTCTTTCCACGTTGATTTGAGTGTTTTGTTTACGACGTCTTTGTATGTCAGCAGTATCTTTTTATTTATGCTCTGTTTTTATTTTCAGCCACAAGATGCTTATGGGCTGGAGAAGCTGATGACTGAGGAGTTATGTAAGCACTACACTAAGGATTTTGGAATCGAGTGCCGAATAGGAAGGTTCCATAACATTTATGGACCCTTTGGGACATGGAAAGGTAAATTTAATGATCTTGTGCCAATATGTTGTCGTCAAACTCTCTTGGCGGAGTACTACTTTTGTATATATCATGACGGCACTCTTATATATATATATATGTATATATTTTCCGTAGCTCCATCTGTAATTGCCTCATTCTATTTGTCACTAAATAATTCGTTATGTTAAACAATGCTGATTTGTCCGAATAAGCAGATGGAAATATGACAAACGATACATAGTTTCAAATAACATAACATATATATCTTGTTATTTGAAAATGTGTTATTAGAAAATGTGTTGTCGATTCATATTTATAAGGAGTGTTGTTTGGACATACATATATATATATATCTTGTGTTGAGATCAATTATAATATACGTTGTGTAGACTATTGTTATGTTAGTTTATGTACTGTATTTGTATTATATTAATATAAGTGGTATGCTATATATCATCATATTATATGTTGTCTATCATAATGTAAACTATGTTATATGCGCATCTTCAACGAATATTAGATATTCGTTTCTTAAATCATCTAAGGAAGATACGATCTCATCAATTGTGCAGGTGGGAGGGAGAAAGCACCGGCTGCTTTCTGTAGGAAAGCCCTTACCTCTGCCGATAAGTTTGAGATGTGGGGGGATGGCCTGCAGACTCGATCATTTACCTTCATTGATGAATGCGTCGAGGGTGTTCTAAGGTACGTTTGCTTAATTAATAGTATCATTTTCACGTTATAAATGATACTTCCTCCGTCCGCCTCTAAAGATTACATTTACATTTACATTTTACGTCATTGTACTTAACATTAAAAATGTCCTTATATTTATATAATTTTTTGGTAAAATTGCTCATGACTCCCCTTGTGGTTTCGAAATTCAGCATAAAATCTCTCTGTACTTTAAAAATTGCATGACACTCCTTTATACTTTAAAAAACGTTGCATGAAACCTTCATCGTGTGATCATATGATGATTTTCTATCTATATCTTTTGTATGACGGGGGGTTTTTATTCAATATTTTTTAAAGTATAAAAGGGTGGCATGCAATTATTTAAAGTAAAATGGGGATTTTTGCTGACTTTTGAAACCATAGAGGGGTTTCATTTCATGCAATATTTTTTTAAAGTATAAGGGCCGCTATGCAATTTTTAAAGTAGAAGGGGGATTTACGATGAGTTTTGAAACTTTTGCCTAATTATTTTATACAAATTTCTTTCTATTAGTATTATAAAACACTAATAAAAATATTTTTATTATTTTTCTTTATTTTTACTACGTTTTTTATATAATAAGTAATATTCAATGATCAATACGCAAAAAGTAAATGTGACTTTTAGAGCTGGACGGAGGTAATATGTTTTTCTACCAAATTCTTTCTACAGCTTCTCTAGTGATTTATAATGTCAAAATAAGTATATACGAACTCATCATTTAAGAAGTTCGCTTCTGTGCAATACGAGTGACAAATGCTTACAGGTTAACAAAATCAGACTTTCGTGAGCCTGTCAACATCGGAAGTGACGAGATGGTGAGCATGAATGAGATGGTCGAGATTGTCCTGAGCTTTGACGACAAGAAACTCCCCATCCATCACATCCCCGGACCAGAGGGCGTCCGTGGTCGAAACTCTGACAACACTCTGATAAAGGAAAAGCTCGGCTGGTCCCCTTCGATGAAACTAAAGGCACCACACACACATTCTTCCTTTAATTGCCTTTTTACACATTCCCATTACATGTAACCAACCATGTTTTTCTATCGAACATGCGCAGGACGGGCTGAGAATCACGTATTTCTGGATCAAGGAGCAGCTGGAGACCGAGAGAGCTCAGGGTGTCGACGTGTCTGCCTATGGCTCCTCGAAAGTCGTGGGAACTCAAGCTCCAGTCCAACTCGGCTCTCTATGCGCTGCTGACGACAAAGAATGAGTTAGGTGAAAGTTATTTAATTTTTCTGCGCGCGCCGTTATGCATTAGACTTAGAATGCATGCTTTTTATCCTTCGTTATTGCCCCTGCTCACTTATTTTTGTTCGATATTTATAAAGGAATCTGCCGGCAGAATCTATAGGTTATCGACATATTTGTTTGCCGTGGCAATATAAGAACATTGATAAGTATAAATGGAGAGTAAAGGTTGCGGTTTTGGTTCGACCTATTTATATATTGGATGAATTTTTATTTTTTATTTTTGATAACGTGGAAATTTGCAGTAGCTAGCCGAAAGTTGTGCGAAGAAAAAGTGTATATTTTTCGGAAAATACCATAGTTCAATTAATATAAATTTTGGGTTTGGATGGTAAAAAGAAAACTTCTATGTTGTGATGTGTTCTCTAAAAACGTTTAAGCATAGTTTATACATTGTGATGCATAGTGATGTAATGCATAGTAAAATGCACAAAATATAATATGTTTTATTTATTGGGTGAAATTCATTTGTATTAATGTAAAGTTTACATGAAACATAAAGATCTAAATTATGCAAAATATATACAAATAAAAAATATAAAATATTTTAAATACTCCCCCTGTCCCATAATAAAATATTTATTTTCTTTTTTAAACATTACAAATGCTCTTGCAATTTACATTATATTACACAAATGTATTACTTTTATATCACACGTACTAATAAGATTATTTTAGTCATTTCTATTTTATTTCTAATTGATCAATTATTTATTTTTATAGTTTTATAAAAATTAGATAGTAATTTGTCTCCATCAACTATAAAATAAAAAATTTATCAATTATTTATTTATTTATTTATTTTATTAAAAGAATTATTTAAGATACTTAGCAATTTTTATTGGTATAAAATCAGTTTTGGACAATATGTTTCTTACCAATTTTACAACTAAAATAAAGAGTACTATATAATTTACCGTATCAAATATTATTTTAATATAAAATTAAATTTTTAAAATTCAATCCAAAATAAAAAATAATAATAAAAATACACTATACACCCCCAAGTGATTCTCAGGGCATTTGATGTGCTCACTCTGTTCCATAACTACATATCGGTTTGCTTTTTGGACGTAATTTTAAAAATATTAATATTATATTGTCATATAGTAGGAATAAAATAAAAATAATTAAAATAATATTGTGTAATATAAAAGCAATGTCATTTGTATAATATATTGTAAGTTGCAAGATTATTTTTTAATGTTAAGTAAATTTCATATATAACTTTACTAGGATTCAAAATTAGTTCGTGGGGATTCTAATTCACAGACTCACATATATATAAAAGGGGAATGTTACAATGTTGAAATTGAAAAATTAGTACTATGTTGAATTTTCAAATCAGCACACATAAAATAGAAAAATGGCATATATTTTTATTACAAATAGCATATGTTGTATGTAATAAATACATGTGTTGTTTGTTCATAATTACAGCGTATATAAGAGTATATTTATGTGCTAAAAATATTTTGTATAAGATTATATCATGTATTGTGTTGTTAAATCATATGTCATATTTGTATTATATTAACTTATACTATGTGCTGTCCGGTAGCAGCCAACTTGTAGCGGCCACCATATATATATATATATTATTTCCTCCCTCAGTCTAAATTAGTATTTTAATATGTATAAATCAATTTTTTTTTTAATTAATTTTGATTACTCCCTCCATCCCATAACAAAATATTTATTTTTACATTTTAGTCCGTCTCATAACAAAATATCAAAACAAAAAATCAATTTCTTTTCTAGTGATTGTAGTACGGTACAAATACTCTTACAATTTACAATATATTATAGAAATACCATTACCTTTGTATCACCTCATACTAATAAGGTTATTTTAGTCATTTCTATTTTATTCCTACTATATTTCAATATAATATTAACATTTCTAAAATTTCGTGCAAAAAATAAACGAATACCTAATTATGAGACGAATGAAGTATTATTTTTTTAATATTATTTTTACTTTAATATTAACACTTTATTAATTTACTTTAAATTCATGTGCAAAAGTGAAAGATAAAACTTATTCTTGAAAAAAAAATTTTTATTTATTTTTATAAAATATCAATTTACATAAAATTTAAATTCAAATTTAAATCTAAACCAAACGCTCCGTATCTTACGATCCACCGTTCAAACAAAACAAAATCTATTTGGACCTCTTTGAGAAGAATAAAGATAACCAAAAATCGGTAAAACCCATACTTAACATCTAAAGTGAATTTCACCTGCACGCGAATCCGATTCATTCTCGTTTCTCATTCCAGAGGAGAATTTAATTCTACACGATTTTCCATCTACTCGTCTCCATCAATTTGGGGATTTTGTTGTATTGTGTTGTGTGCTCGAACAAAATCTTAATTTCTGAATTTTCTTATAGAAGAGGATAGAATTCCAATCCGATGGGGGCACTGATGTCTAAGTTTTGGTTCATGTTGTTTCCGGCGACGGAGTACAAGATCGTGGTAGTTGGCCTGGACAACGCCGGCAAAACGACGACGCTTTACAAGCTCCATTTGGGGGAAGTTGTGACCACGCACCCCACCATTGGCAGCAATGTTGAGGAGCTTGTCTATAAGAATATTCGATTCGAGGTACCCTACTGCTATTTATCGTCTTTTTCTAGATTTGAACCTTGTTTAATTTTTCGAAGCTTTTGATAGATTGGCTATGGAAATCTTCCAAACTCGGTAATTAGGTTGAAATTTTGATTATGATTCTTAGATTAAAGATGCAAACTCTGTATTTGGATCTTGAGTTGGAAGTGTGTGTTAGAAAAATACCTAAAAGAACAACTGTGATACACAATAGGATTTTTTTTTATCTCTGTAATTTGTTTATTAATTTATAGTTTTCATGATTTAGTTATGTCTTGTTTTCAAGAAACATCTTTAATGGCGATGATATTGATTGCTTGCATTAAGTTTTACCTAATTGGTTTCGGAAAATTGGTTTAGGGTGTATTTGTTTGGGAGTTTGGATCTGAGGATGTTATTTGAATAGTAAAAGTTTTGAATTTTAATAATTATACGATGCGATCTAAATAGGTGTTAATGAGTTGCTTTGAATGTAAAATTAATTTTTAATATGATATAAAAAATTAAAAATAAATATTTGATTCGATGTTTTTTAAGAAAATTTTTTTTGATGAACAGTATAAATAATAGTAAAATTTTATAAAAGAACACACCTGTTATACCTTGTACGGTTGATTTATACCTCATATGATACTGTGCCGACTATAATTAGTCAGCACAGTAACAACCAATGGCTTTACAAATACTCTCTTTTTCCTAGTCCAATATGTATTCATATGCTACATCCGTCCGGCTTTAAGGGGTCCCATTAAAGGCGGACGGAGGAAGTATAATTTTTTAGTAAATTAAAAAATAATAATATTATTAATTAGTAGATGTGTATAAGAAGGTTTTAATATTTTTCCGTTCATAATAAAATAATAATATATTATGATAGTATATTTGTAATTTTATGTGAAAGTTAAAGTTATTTTGACATTAATATAATAATTTTTTATTATAATAGAAAATGTATATATTTGGGTAGAATAGATGAAAATGTCAAGTTGTCTACTTTTGGGTCGGACGGAGGAAGTATTTCTTTTCAACAATGAATTTTCATGCCATTGAAATTGATACTCTGAACACTTTATTTTCTCATTGTTTTTTGGTGATTGCAACTTATGTGTCAATCCGTTAAATTTGTTCGATAGCAAGTTGGCATCATCTTTTGTAGAAGAATTACAGATGGGGTGTTTTGAATAGGATTGAGAATCAGAGCTGTAATATGTGCATAATGTTGAAAAGGGTAAAGGTATATATGTCTTTATGTTTGGTATCGGAATGATCTGAAATAGACGGCGACCGAGTTCATTTTTATTTTTGCATTCTCAAATTATATTACATGAATGTGTTCTTCACATAGAATACTGATTTTTTAACTTCTGGTTATATACTTGATTGTAACTTGAAGCACACTTACTATGAAGTAAGGAAAAGTCGATGATTAAGAAATTAAAGTTCACAAGGGTGTGATGTTTTTGTTATTTTCAATGATGTTAAATTTGATCCCAATCTGTAATTGGTTAATGACTATATAAACATGTCTTCCATATCGTTCATTCCCATTCAAGGATCCTTTGGCTTTTCCCGAGCATTCATTGTAGCATACAAATGTTGTTTAGAATAAAGCACAGAACAGTATGCATAAGTTATTATCATTCTTATATCATTATTTTGGCATTGATCGTGGTACATGTTTTGCGTTATCCTTGAGCCCGTTCGACCTAAGCAAAGGTAGACATTCTTCTTCCTCTTCTCGAGTTATGGCCTTTTGATTTTTGAACATTTCCAGCTTATAGATAGTTAATCCTTAGAAAACTTGATCAAATCTGGAAAAATTCAGGGATGACCTGGATGATCGTTGTTCTTGTCCTGTCACACCCTATTTAAAGCACCGATCATAAATCGAAACACCCCTTCCATTCTCTGTTTGTGCCGATGTCCTTGTATGCTTGAATGTGTGATTTCTGTTGTTAATGACTATATATAGTTAGACCCTTACTAAGAGTTAAGGATTTAACCGTTGTAAAATGTTGCGTTTTTATTCAACTTTTGAGTGAGAATATTCTATTTGTTCCCCTTGTTCATGTTGTGATGATTTTTTTTACAATGCTGATTAATATTTTCAGTATGAACTGACAGTACATGACAATAATTCATACAACACACTATCAATGATTTCAATCCACGAGATATATCGATAAAGTACACCTTAATATGTGTGTTTGTTTGTGGATTTTAGTTTTTGGGTTTGAATTTTTGAATAGTAAAAAGTTGAATTTGAATAGTTGTTTGATGTAATATAAAAAGAAGTTGATACGATGTTTTGAATATAAAATAAGTTTGTAGTATAATATGAAAAAAAAAAAAAAACAGTAATCGTTTAATTTGATATTTTTGGAGGAAAAAAAAAATTGAATAGTAAAAATATTCGATAAAATCCACAAAAAAACACAACCTTAAATTGTCAACAAGCTTCGCACTTGGAAACTATATGTTGTCTTTTTCTTTTTTTCTTTTTTTATATATATAATACATATACTCTTTATAGGTAACGAGCATGATACTAATTAAGCCTAATCAAAATCCTAACCATCCATTGTTATGATCCATGACTTATTCTAAACTCTTTCTTCTCATTTCCAAGGTTTGGGATCTCGGCGGGCAAGACAGACTAAGAACATCGTGGGCAACTTATTATCGAGGGACACACGCCGTCATAGTAGTGATAGACAGCACTGACCGGGCTAGGATCTCCGTAATGAAAGACGAGCTATTCAACTTGCTCCCCCACGAGGATCTCCAAAATGCAGTGGTACTCGTCTTTGCCAACAAACAGGACCTAAATGGCGCAATGGCGCCCGCCGAGATAACTGATGCACTATCCCTACACAGCATCAAGAACCATGATTGGCACATCCAAGCCTGCTCGGCGCTCACCGGAGAAGGCCTGTACGATGGCTTGGGCTGGATCGCCGAGCGAGTTTCCGGCAAGGCGCCGAGTTAATTAGAACCTGTGGCATTGGAAAAGAGCATTCGATTCACCACTAATATATCACCTGAGAATTTTCTTGAGCTTAATTATGTTGTATTTTTGCTTTTATTTGTTGAAATGAGGGAGGCTTTCATTTCAGCTGTTTTATGCACAATTTGGGACATGAAGTGCTTAGAGACACCTGAAGTATGTATCATTGCTGGTGCATAAAATCTTTGAAATTGTACAGATTCCTCTGAAGTCGCGCTTATATTAATAATTTTTTTTTTTTTTTTTCCAATTCAAAGTATTTTTTTTATCATTTTTATCCGTCTAATTTTAAAGTATTATTTTCCTATTTTAGTTAAAATAATTATTCATCAATACCAAAATACTTATTTTAATTTTTACCTAAATTATAAAAATATCATTATTAATTAATAAAATATTATTATTTTTCAAGAATTTCAAATGACCGCTTTAGACCAAGAGGGAGGGAGCATCAGCACCGTGCTGATTAAATATTTTTTAGTAAAAAAATACTAATTTTTTTTTTTTTATTTTTTCTTTATCCAAAAAATTAAAAATTTCAATTTTTACCCATTTTTTTAAAAATTTGTTATCTGTCAGTTGAACACACAATTGAATGACAGAGAGAGTAATATATATATACTTCCTCCGTCCCGGTTTAATCGACCCATTTTATTAGTGATATAGTATTTAAAGTAATGATATCATTAGTTAATAATAATAAGTTATGATATTATTTTATTATTTTTTATGTAATTAATAATATTAGTAATTTTAAAATAAATTTAATATATATGATTAAAAAATTAGAATATATTCAAATATTTTTGAAAATATATCACAATAAAAAACATGTAAATATAAATATTATTTTGTAGAAAATAAAATTTAAATAAAAAATAAATTTATTTATTTATAATTAATAGTATAAAGTAACTTTTATAAAAGAAGTGGAGTTTTAAATGTAGATAAAAATATTAATTTTTTTTAGAAGAGGTAAAATAAAGAAATTTTGAGTGAATTTACATGATGTTATATGCTACATAATTAATTAAGTTGATTAATATTTTTAAATATATTTTGATTTAATAAATTTTACTCAAAATAAAATGTATACTCCGAAATCGACCGGGCCGACCCAAGTGAGCACAACCCAAGTCCCGAGAGGGTACGCCCAGAGAAAGGTCCAAATTAGTAAATAGGCCCACGGTCAACAAGTAAACGGATAAGGCGCAATTCGAAAACAAGAAGAGGTTAGGGAGGTTGAAGGAAAATAACGGACAAGAATCTTATCCGAATAAGATTAGGAAATAAAAGCCTAAGAAGGCTGATAGACGCACATTCGATCAATTCATCTTATTTTTTCATTAATTTGTTCCTCTGCAATTTTTAATTCTTGTATTCTTTTCAGATTTTTATAGTTTTTTTTAAATTAATTCCAATTTAATTTTCAGCGTTAATTTCTATTTTACATTCTTCTTTTTTCGCCAATTTTTTCGGTTATCGCGAGATAGCTTGGATCCTTTCTTGAGGAGGCCGGAGAACCCTACGGTTAAATCAATTCCGACAGGCTTTTCCGATTAAGCCGTCGGTGATGATTTTTTTTTACGACAATAGATTGGCACGCCCAGTGGGATACCAATGTCTCGCGACTTTTTGCATGCAACTTCGAAAGAAAAAATTGACGCCGCCGACGACCATGAAGATGTCGAAGAACAAGGAAACCGTCGGCGATTCGTCATCGCCTCACGCACAGGAGGCTACTCCACGAGATAAAGCCTCTGCAGCGGCTGGGAAGTCCGATCCTATCATCAGCCTCCTGACCAGTGTTCTCCGTGAACAAATTTGCAGAGAAATTCAATATTCTCTCCACGAATCCGCTCTGGAATTGTTTAAATATATCATTGACGTACTCAAGCCCGCCATACGAACGGAATTCGCACTGCTCTGGGAGAAGGAAACTCGAAAGGGTAAGGCTCCCGTAATCGGCCCCAATCCGCCCAAAATCTGGCCGAATCCTATCCTCTCGGTTAATTCTGGGGCAGCTCCTCAGGCGCTCAGCTATGGTCACGTCACGATCCTCGGCAAGAACGGATCTGGAGAACCCCCGGCCACCGTCCGGAAGCTCGGAGAATCCAGCACAACGACTGGGCAGACTTTTGCTGGGCCGTCCCAAGCATGAGGTTTTGGCATGACCTTCGGGTCAGTACCATCTGCCCCGTGTTGGCACCCGAGTTCTTCATCGACTGGAGTTTCGTTAAACGCTCCGCCTCCCGTTCCGGCACTCCAGGGATATTCAACGGATGGACAGGGAACCAGCAACCTTGAGGGGTAGGACTGTCAGCGACCCCAACACATTCGTTTGCTTCAGTCTCTTCGGGGACAGCCTGGGGGCTAGGGGGATTGCCCCAACCGCATCCCATTGCGCTGGGGGGCAAGCTAGCACTGCAGAAGGTCTATTTTCCGCTGGCTCCGAGACGCAACAAAATTTCGAATTCGTTGCCCAGGCAGCCCCCAAAACTTTCCCGGTACAGCAAACCCCGACGGTAAGAGAAGCCGCAGAAGCCTCTAGATTTCGCTTTCTGCCACAGGAATCGATTCTTCAGGCCCCTCCGTAGCCGGCGATCCGGAATCCGCCGCCTATCCAAGCACCTCCAGAGCAGCCTGGGGGGCAGGCAGAAGTAATGCCGCCGCCACTCCTGAATCCTTAGGTGATCGATGATGCAATACGGAGGATTTACGGTGATCCTATCCGTTTAGCGGCCAGGCCTCATTACCAGCAACCTTTTCCAGGATATATCCCTTTGGATCACCCGTTGCCTCGCAACGCTCGAATCCTCGAGTTTGCATTATTCTCAGGGGAGGATTCCTGCTCCACGATCGAGCACATTAGCCAATTTACTGCTCAATGCGGAAGGGAGTACGGGAATAACGACTGGTACAAGCTCCAACTCTTCTCTTTGTCCCTTACAGGCCCTGCATTTTCCTAGTATACTTCATTACCCCCGAATTCTATCCGCACTTGGGCGGATATGGAAAGAGCCTTCCACGAGCAATTTTACAGCCCGCTCCCAGAAGTGACTGTCTTGGACTTGACCAACTTACGTCAGCGAGGGGACAATCCGTTGAGCAATTTTTGGAACGCTTCAAAGATCGGAAACCAGGTGCCAGGTTCGTATACCAGAGAATCAGGTGGTAAACATGGCTATCGACAACATGACTCATCAATTACGGGATAAACTCGCCCTCTAAGAGTATCATGATTTTCGGCAGTTGACGTCCAAGGCTGTGAAGGCCGATCAGCTCGTGAGAGAGGCCCAGGCAGTTCGAAATCAGAAGTATCGGGGTGCAAATCATTGTGTTTTCGCACAATAAGAGGCTGCCGAGGAGGATGAAGAACGAGAGAACACCTTCCTGGCATAAATAACACAAGGGAAGACATACTATGTCCAACTCTTAAGCCGCCTCGACGAAAAGATACGAATCCGAATATCTTATTCGTTCGATATCGCAAAGACAGAGCAGATCTTCAAACACCTGCTGAAAGAAAACCAGCTCCGCCTTAAGGAAGGTCACAAGATGCCAACCGAAGAGGAACTGAATGAAAAATCATTTTGTAAATCACATGGAGTATATGGTCATCAGGTTGGCAACTGTATTGCTTTCCGAAATGCCGTTCAGAAGGCGATCAAAGAAGACCGCCTTAAGCTGGCCGAAAAATCTGATATGAAAGTGGATACGAAGCCGTTTCTGGCGCCGATCAACATTGTTGGAGTGCGTCCATCTAAATTTGGAAGATCAAGTACAGTTTTTCGGACAGGTCATAGGGGGCAGATTTCAAAAAACCCGTGTTTGAAAGGCTGGGAAGGTCGATCAAACCGCCAAAGAGAAGTTCGGTATGGGATAGACTTTCTCCCAAAAATACGGTCGCGGAAGTAAGTTTCGAAAAATGAGGGGAGGTTTGGCGAGTAACTTCCGTGGACCAAGTGATAATCATGCCCCATCAGACCCAACTCCCGGCGAAGGCCCCTAATGACGGAAGTTGGACAAGGAATCAAAAGGAACAAGTGAACCAAACCCCCACCATAATCCAAAAAGGAGGGCGCAGCGACGGCACCTGGCCGCTCGCCTCTTCCAGGAACATCAGGCTGGTGGGCAGCAAGCTACATACTACAAAGGTTGAGATAATAAACAACAACTCCAGAGCTCAGAAGGGACTAACACCGAAAGACTGAATCCCGGCCGTCAGGACCTACGCCATCGCATCCAAGCCCGAAGGGAGTGGAGAATGAAAGGAGTTCTCTCGAGGGTCGAATATCCCAAGGAACCGCATTTTACGGTGACGCTTGGGGGGGTCAGATTCCTAAGGACGAACCAAGGATCGACACCCTTACTTGCAATGGAGCATCGGAGACCACCTTAGACATTATCGCCTGCGACGAAGACCTCAAACAACATGAAGACAATCTCGAGGTTAGGACAGTGGGCGTGTTACCTCGGGAATTTGAAACGCCTCCGTCCCAACCTGACTATCTCCAGGGAGATGTTCTACTGGAAGAAACTGGTCCATTGTATTGGGGAGAACAGGAGTTTGACGTTCCGGGAGGAGTTCCAGAACCAGTGATTTTTCATAAATTATCCGACGAGAATACACGTCACCTGAAGCCATTATTCCTTACCGTCCATCTCGATGGGAAGACGGTCAGCAAAGTCCTGGGCAATGGAAGAGCATCCGTTAACGTCATGACACTGTCCACTTTGCGGAAAATCGGGAAAAGCAGAAATGATCTTGTCCCAACGTCCTTACAGACGACCGATTTCACCGGAAATGCGCATATGGCAGCAGACGTTCTAGTGGCAAAAGTGACGGTCGCAACTAGGACGGATCAGATGGCTTTTTTCGTCATCGAGGGAAAGCCAACCTATTCGGCTATTCTTGGGAGGGACTGGATCCATACTACTCAATGTGTGCCCTCGACCCTCCACCAGAAAGTCATGTTTTGAAATGGAAATCAAGTTGAGATGGTGGAAGCCGAGACCGATTCTATTATGGAAGTACATTCCACAGAAGCCGTGTATTATTCCCCCGAGGTGTACCCGTTGTCCATGATGCTAGAGGACGCTGAGATATGAAGAGAATGTAATTTAACCATGAAAGGGTTTGAAATCAAAGTGGAGGCCAACAAACGGCCTGATGACACAGACGGTCATCATGCTTGACGACCTGATTGTGCAGAAC